AAGAAGACAAAGAGCAAGGGGCCCTACATCTGCGCCCTGTGCGCCAAGGAGTTCAAGAACGGCTACAATCTCCGGAGGCACGAGGCCATCCACACGGGAGCCAAGGCCGGCCGGGTCCCCTCGGGTGCTATGAAGATGCCCACCATGGTGCCCCTGAGCCTCCTGAGCGTGCCCCAGCTGAGCGGCGCTGGCGGGGGAGGGGGAGAAGCGGGTGCGGGCGGCGGAGCGGCCGCCGTGGCCGCGGGCGGCGTGGTCACCACCACCGCCTCGGGCAAGCGCATTCGGAAGAACCACGCCTGCGAGATGTGCGGCAAGGCCTTCCGCGACGTCTACCACCTGAACCGACACAAGCTGTCGCACTCGGACGAGAAGCCCTACCAGTGCCCGGTGTGCCAGCAGCGCTTCAAGCGCAAGGACCGCATGAGCTACCACGTGCGCTCACATGACGGCGCTGTGCACAAGCCCTACAACTGCTCCCACTGTGGCAAGAGCTTCTCCCGGTGTGCACGGGGCCGCGGCCGCCCACTGGGCGGGTGGGGAGGGCGGGCGGACGGCGCTGGAGGTGGCCTGGCCTCGGCTGGCGGGGCGGGAGGCGGTTTCTGAGGCCGGGGACCGGGAGCCACTCCCCGGGAGGAGGGAGGGAAGCCTCGCCCGGTTACCAGGGAGCAGGGGGTGGTACTTAGCCGAGGAGGTGGGTCCTCCGGGTGTGAGAAGGCTCCGCGTGGGCGGAGGGCCGGCCCGCCCCGCGGCAGGGGGAGGGATTTCCTGCCGCCCGGGGGCTCCGAAGCCTGGGGCTTGGGCGAGGATGCGGGCATCTCGGGGAAGGCCGGGTGTGCTGAGAAGTAAGATCGGGGAGCGCGTCCCCACCCCAGGGCCCTAACCCCGACCCCAACGTATTCCCAGGCCGGATCACCTCAACAGTCACGTCAGACAAGTGCACTCAACAGAACGGCCCTTCAAGTGCGAGGTAGGAAGTCCGCCGCCTCCTCCTGTCCCGGTTTTCATGATTTTGATCCTCCTGGTAGCTGTCTGAGTTCAGCCTCTCAGACCCCCTTTTTCTCTCTCTCCTTTTTGCTTTTTCACTCCCATTTTCCCATCCCTTCTTCAAGACCTTGTCATCTCACTCCCATTTCCTACAGATCAAAGACCCCCGAGGTTCTGATTCCTTTAATCTCTTGCTCCCCTCTCCCTGCTCCCTGAAGCTTTAACTCTCCTGACACCCCCCCACGGCCCTCCCCCCTCCCCAGAAATGTGAGGCAGCTTTTGCTACGAAGGACCGACTGCGGGCGCACACAGTACGACATGAGGAGAAGGTGCCGTGTCACGTGTGTGGCAAGATGCTGAGCTCGGCTTATATTTCGGACCACATGAAGGTGCACAGCCAGGGCCCTCACCATGTCTGTGAGCTCTGCAACAAAGGTACATGCTGAGGGACGCTGGGAGGGCCGGGAACAAAGGGTGGGGACCAAGCCAGAGGCCCTTCCACATATGAGGCTTCCAGGTGCTGTAGCCCAGGGCTCATGGCATCTAGAGCCCTTTAGGAAGCAAGTGGAGCAACAGCGGGTTGACTGAGCCTCGTTAAGTTCTAAGAGGTCTGGACTGGAGACTCAGAGCTGCCAGAAAGAATCAGCTTCTGGGGGTGGCTTGCTCTGGGGAAGGGGCTGCTTTGGGGAAGGAGCGGTCCAGAGAGCCAGTTCCCAAGGGTTGGAAGGCAGGGTTTTGAGCGGCCCGGTGCCGTGCGCTCCTGCTCTGGAGCAGGCGGAGTCCCACCACAGGGGCTTAACAGGCCTGCTGGGGCCATGCCCCAGCAGCAGAGGAAGCTGCTTTAAACAGCTTCACTGATTCACCAAGTAATGAGTAACGGGGCTGAGACTGACTGGGGCCCTGGAGGGAGGGGACACAGCCGTCTCTGCTGAGGGTCAACTCTTTCAGGTGGCTAGAAATCAGTGTCCTGTCACCCGGGGAGAGGTTCCCCTAGCCACGGAGAATAGGTTCTGTGACACCACGCACCCAGGCCCCAAGCTGAGGGAGGGGCTGTGCCCCACCAGCCCCACCAGCCCCAACAGAGTAGTTGGCCCCAGGTTCCCAAGGATGCGGTGGGAGGAGGACAGGGCTATCTGAGGAGGGCGTCCCCAGCCTTAGGAGAACAGCCCCGTCTCTGGGGTCTCCGCCTGGCTGACCCCCCATCCCCCCATCCCAATCCACCCCCCCAATAGGCTTCACCACAGCAGCATACCTGCGCATCCACGCGGTGAAGGACCACGGGCTCCAGGCCCCGCGGGCTGACCGCATCCTGTGCAAGCTGTGCAGCGTGCACTGCAAGACCCCTGCCCAGCTGGCCGGCCACATGCAGACCCATCTGGGGGGGGCCGCCCCCCCTGTCCCGGGAGACGCCCCCCAGCCACAGCCCACCTGCTGAGGGGGACCCCCCGCACCCACCAGGCAAGGCGTGGGGCATGGCTGGGGGGGGTGGGATGGGGTGTGTGGGACGAGGGGGCTCAAAGGGCCCAGTAGGGGATCTCAGGCAGGCCAGGGATGCCCACAAACCACTGGAGCTAGGGAAACTTCTGGGGACAGGGAGGGCCCTTCAGGAGAACTGGGAAAGCCTCCGGGGACCAGACAGGAAGTGAGCAACGGCTGTGTCCCAGGGGAGGGAGTCTGGGAACCAGTCTGGGGTGAGGGGACGAGGCTCTTGCCTATAGGATTGCGCTGTGATCTCCTGGCATTTGTGCCCACGCAGGTACCGGTGAGGTCTGTCCTATGGCGGCAGCGGCGGCGGCGGCAGCAGCAGCGGCGGCAGCAGTGGCAGCCCCCCCCACAGCTGTGGGCTCCCTCTCGGGGGCTGAGGGGGTGCCTGTGAGCTCTCAGCCACTTCCCTCCCAGCCCTGGTGAGCTCCAAGTTAGTGGTCGGGAGAGTGGAAAGTGGAGGAAAGTCCCTTGGTACCGTCTCCTCTTCCCCCCTCTCTTCCTGCCAACTCCTCACTACTTCCCCACCAACCAAGGAGCCTCCAGAAGGAAAGGAGGAAGAGGTGTTTCTTAGGGGAATTCGCTAGGTTTTAACGATTTGTTTCTCCTGCTCCTGTCTTCTCCCTGTCAGACCTGACCCCACACACACCTGTCCCCTCGGTTGTGTTGAAGCCCCCTGGACAGTGGGCAGGGGTGGCAGAGGACAGGAGCGGCCACTGCTCTCACCCCTTCTCCTCTCTAACCCCCTGCCCTGCCCTTACAGGGATCTGTGAGCCTTCTCCTTGATGGTCCTTGCTCTCCTTCCATCCCCTGCCCATACTGTCCGCTGCCCCTCCCTGGGGAGTTGGTGCTTTTTTTTTTTTCTTTCTCCTCTTAATTTTTTTTCCAGGGGGAGGGAGGAGAGGAAGGAGGGGAATCAAAGATTCTGTCCCAGAGAGGGGAAAAGGTGAGATTGGAGAAGGGGCAGAAGCAGGGAAGGCAACGGTAGTACCTTCATGAGGTGGGGTTGTTTGGGGTCAGGCCCTAAACATTGTCCTACTTGAGAATCTGTCAGGGGAAAACAAGTCAAGGGGAGCAAGAGAAGGAGCCACTAGGGCCAGAGGCAGGACAAGAGATGGAATTCTAGGGTGCCAGGGTAAATGGGGGGATCCAGGGACTAGAGGTGCTTCCTGGGGGTGGGGGGAATGCAGTCACAGTATCTCCCCCGTCCCTCTTCCACCCCAGCTCCAGCCCTGGCCTTTTCTTTTCATCCCTCTCCCCCACGACAGAAGCTGTGGCCCTGGCCATGTCATCGTGTTCCTGTGTCCCCTGCATGTTCCCCACCCTTCACCCCCCTCCTTTTGCGCGGACCCCATTACAATAAATTTTAAATAAAAACCTGTCTCTGATTTTGGAGTGGATGGATTGTTCTCACCAAGGCCCCTGTCCCCACCCCCCAAGGCATTTCTTCTGGGCCTGGTGTCCGCTTTCGGGTCCCAGCCTTGCTCTGGCCTGTGTGGCTCCCCGGCTCTGGCTCCTCCCTCACCAGCGGCTGCAGCCCAGATTCAGGGTGGGGCCGAAGCTCCAGTGGCTGGAGAGCAGGTTCCAGGACTCCCGGGGCTCCCGGGAATACCCTATTCTGGCAGGCCCAGAATAGCCACTGGAGGGTTGAAGAGGCCTGGGTTAAAAACCCCAACAGGAGACAAATGCTGCTCTTCTCCGCTCACACCCATTGCCTGCGGCTCACACCTCTGCCCAGTACCTGCAAGCCCTTAAGGCCCTGGGGGCTGACAGTGGGCGAGTGAGCTGCAGAAAGGGTGGGGACGTCAGCCCTAGTACCGGGAGCGGAGGGTGCCGAGAAAAACTGCGCTTCTCCCCTCGACTGTTCCCTCCACTCTTGGTGTGGTCCATTGAGCGCTTCCGGGCCCGGGCCCAGCCCCCTCTTGTTCCTGACGGCCTCTGCAGCCTCTGCCCTGGAATTCCCTTTTGAGTCCTGCTCCAGGGACCCGAGAGCCTTCCAGCACCCATTTCTGCTGCTGCTTCCTGGAGGGGAGAGGGGCTTTCTGTACTGCAGGCTCCCTTTTCTTCCAGCCCCACCCTGCTCCTGAGCAGCCTCCCCAAGTTTTGCCTCATTTCCCTTCCCCTCTCTCTGCTTGTAGGGGTCCCGCCCGTCTCACAGGTCCTGTCTCCTCGTAGACCCCTCTCCGTTGCCCCCAGCCCCCTGCCTCTGCCAGGAACCCCGGTGACCGTTGGCGGGAGGGGCCCGGGGCTTAGGAAGGGGGCACCCCCAAGAAGCGCGCGTGGGAAGGGGCAGGGAGGGGGCGCGAGTGGTTACCCGGCCGGTTGCCCGGGTAACGCGGGGCCTGGCACGCGTGGCTCCCTTGGGCTGGCCGGGAGGGGCGGGAGGCGAGCGAGGGGCGGGGGCGGTGCGTGGCGGCAGCAGAGCGTAGGGGAGGGGACCTGAGAGGAGCGAGAGGAGGGGACGAGCAGAGGGGAGGGGAGACCCGCCGCCTCCCTCCTTCGCTCGCTGACTCGCTCCCTCCCGGGCTGCGGCTGCTGCAACGGGGCGGCGGTAGCAGCAGCAGCGGGAGCAGTCTGGAGGCCGGCGTCGAGGTGAGACGGGGATGGACAGAGGCTGCGGGTAGGAGTGCGCGGACAGACGGCGGACGCCGGGAGGGCTGCACCGGAATGCGGGCGCCTGGCGGACTGACTGGTGGTGCTGGGCGCGCCACGCCAATGGGAGGAGGAGGCGCCGGTCTCCCGGGGGCGAGGGAATCCCTGCGAGAGGAGCTGAGAAGGGGCTCAGAGGGACAAGCCCAGGTGCCCCAGGGAGGGGCGGGGGCGCTGCGCCCCAGACGCGCAGTGAGAATACTGCACCGGCGGGGCGCCCGGGGAGGAAGGGAGGACGCAGAGGGAGTGGAACGTGAGTATCGGTCCTCTGCCCAGTGTGCCTGTCTGCCTGTCGGAGTGTGCGAGCGTCTGCACAGCTTGTTGATTTCGGGGTGCTGGGGCATCTGCTGGGATCTCAGAGTCTGGATCTTGTCGGGCGGGCCCAGGGAGAGAGCTTGGGAGGGTCCTGTTTACAAAATGGTTAATCTTCCCAGGGCTCTCCGAGCAGAAGACTTTGAGCAGGGCACTCCTCCCCAGGGATGTCCCACCCCAAGGCAAAGGAAACCCCAACTTTTCTTCCTCTCCCCAGAGGCAGCCCAACGCTGGCCCTACGACAGGAGCATATCCCTCTCCAACTGCAGTGATGAGAGCCACCGCTTTCCTCCTCACACCAAACCTGTCTCCTCCTTTTTCAGGATTGCTGCTGTCTCTGCTGCTCCAGCCTCTCCATCGAGGTCCTCTCCCCTCTCCCCTCTCAAGATGGCAGCCAACAGTTCTGAGAGCTCGGAGATGAAGGGTATAGAAGAGGGTCCCCAAACCCAAAGAGAAGGGCCTGGCCATTCTGAAGGCGAAACTAGCCCTCTCCAGGCCCCAGCTGGGGTCCCAGATGAGCCAGAGGCCCTGCAGCCAGGCCCAGACATCACCGGGGCCCCTGTGGACTCAGAAGCCAAAGCTGGGCTGGCTCCAGAAACCACAGAGACCCCAGCTGGGGCCCCAGAAACAGCCCAGGCCAAAGACCTCAGCTCGAGCCTAGGAGGGGAGCCAAATGCCAACCCCAGCCCCGAAGAAGCATGCCAAGAGCCAGCACCCAAACCAGAAGGGAATAAAGAGGTCACTGCAGACCAGGGGTCCGATCTGGGGTCCGGAGCCCCACCTGAGCCAGCCTCGGAGCCTGCTCCCCAGTCGGACCCACAGTCAGACCTTCAGCCAGACTGCCAGCCAGGTTCCCAGCCCACCCCCAAGTCAGCTCTTCAGCCAGAGCCCCCTACCCAGGAGGACCCCACCTCTGAGGTCCTGACTGAGAACGTGGGGGAAAAACAGGAGAATGGGGCAGTGGTTCCCCTGCAGGCTGGTGGTGGGGAAGAGGGCCCAGCCCCGCAGCCTCACTCGCCACCCTCAACCAAAACCCACCCAGCCAACGGGGCTCCTCCCCGAGTGCTACAGCAGCTGGTGGAGGAGGACCGACTAGGAAGGGCTCACAGTGGGCATCCCGGATCTCCCCGAGGTAGCCTGAGCCGCCACCCCAGCTCCCAGCTGGCAGGGTCTGGGGTGGAGGGGGGTGAAGGCACCCAGAAACCTCGGGACTACATCATCCTCGCCATCTTGTCCTGCTTCTGCCCCATGTGGCCTGTCAACATAGTGGCCTTCGCTTATGCTGTTATGGTGAGCCCCATGGGACCCTGGCCCAGGTCTGCTGTGGCTCCCAGTTTCCTGCCACCACTGGGAGTGAACCCCAGGAGTAGTAATCTTGCTTTCCCTCTCCTCTCTGCATGGATCTCCCTTCCCAAGTATGGGGTCTTTTCTGGCCTCTCCCTGGGACCTTCCCTTCGGAGCCACCACTGCCCTAGCCCATCAGGTGGGAGGGAGGGCAGGATAGGTTTCACGCAGCCTTGTTGACCTGTGCCCTCCCCTCCTTGCCTCTCCAACCCTCTTTCCCCCCTCGAACCACTGTCCATGGGGCCTGCCTGTCTCCTTGGGACAACTCTTTCACCTGAACCCTGCTGGGCTGCCATCTCCCGACCTGGGCCCACGGTGCCGCACCCCTCATCCTCACGCCAGTCCCGGAACAGCCTGCAGCAGGGGGACGTGGATGGGGCCCAGCGTCTGGGCCGCGTGGCCAAGCTCTTAAGCATCGTGGCGCTGGTAGGGGGGGTCCTCATCATCATCGCCTCCTGCGTCATCAACTTAGGCGGTGAGTGGGGGTCTGGGACAGGCCGGGAGGAATGGAAGGGTTGGCAAGGGCAGCTTTACTAACCCCTGCCCCTGCTCTCTCCTGTCTGTCCTCCCTACTTCTCCTTTGTCTCTCCTTGTCTCTCCCCCCACCGTCTCTGTCTGTCCCTCCCTCTCCTCTCCCACAGTGTATAAGTGAGGGGCTCTGCCCGCATTCCAAGACTTTTCTTCCTGTTGGGAGCTGTCTTGGGCCCATCCTCCCCTGGGGGGAGCCCAATGGATGGCCCAGGCCCGCACCCATAGGGACCAAGAGAGCCTGAGCGGCCTTGTTTACAGCTTCTTTCCTGCTCCTGCATCCTGCCAGGCTCCTGTGCCAACCGTAGGCCTCTCTTCTCCCTGCACTGTTTTCCAACCTCCCTGTACTTCTGCCTGCATCCCCTCCAGCCTATTGGCCTCCCTATCCCTGCACTTCTGGAAACCTCCCTGCACTTCTGGAAATCTCCCTGACCTGAACATCTCCCAGACTCTCTGCTCTCAGCCTTCCTGCATCTCTCCCAGCCTCCCTGCACTCCTCCCAACTTCCCCAATTCCCTGCACCCCAGCCCTGGCGTCCCCCTTTCAACTTTCACTGTCTTGGCATCTTCCCCCATTCCTTTCTTCCTTCTCCCCTTTATCATCTCCCCTTCCCCCTCCACACCCTCTGCCCCCTTCCTCTTCCTGCCTTCTCTCCCCTCAGCATCCTTTCCTCCCCTCAGGATCCTCTCCTCCTCCCTCCCGCCACCGATTTCTCTGCAAAAACTCCAGTACTTATTAGATCAGGCTGGGGGGGGGGGAGCGATGTCAGGGGAGGGCTCCTCAGCCCGGTTCCAACTATTTTCTGCTGGGACCACCCAGGTCCTGACGCACCCAGGGCGCCTCTGGGTCGCAGAGCTGGCAAGCCAGGCCTTGTCTGGGGACTTGTGCGGGGTGTCGCGCACGGTGGCTAGCTCTGTTGTGAGCATGCACCGGGGAGGAGGAAGGGGCGCGGCTGTTGACCCTTTCTGATTAGCCCGAGCCGACCTGCCCCACTTGGGCTTTTAAACCCGCTCAGCGAGTTTCTTAAAGGCGTCGGGGCTGGGGTCATTCACGTGCTTTGTAACGAAAGAACCTCGAGATAGGACCAAAGCTCCCGAATGCAGGGAGCGAGTGAGGGGCGGGGAACTCTATAATTATTTTCCAAGAGGACGAGGGAGGTTTGTTGCACGCGACAGTCCGCTAGGGAGGCGGGGACTGAGCTACGACGCGGCTCGGAGTTGGCGGGTTTTGTTTTCTTAAAAAAAAAAAAAAAAAAAAAAAAAGAGAGAAAGAGGAAAAAAAAAGGCGTGGGGAGGGGAAAAAAAAACTAAAAGTCTTTAAAAAAAAAAAAAGGATACATCAAACAGATTATCCCTTTTTGTATGCCGGATGCTGCATGAGTCTGAAACACAAATAAACGGAGACTGCATGAGACTCGCCTCCTGCCTCAGTTGGTCCTTAACATCTGTCTGCCGCCGGGTCCCGCGGTACTGCCCTCTTTCGGGCAGAATCTATGGGGTGTATGCGCATGCGCTCTCCCGGAGGCCATCTTTACTGTGGGCCGAAGCCAATTGTGCCCGAGCCTACCTGCGCATGTGCATTCTTCCCCACGCTTTCCTTTTTCCAAGTAGCTTCGGCTAGAGCGGGGCCTTCCGCGCCATCTCTGTGCGCTTGCGTACTGTGACCCTGCGCAGCGCGGGAGGTGGGTCTTAGCTCCAGGTGCGTACGGCGGCTGAGGCGGCTGAACTGCGAGGTGCGGGGCGCCCGATCCAGGTGTGGGGAGGGGTAGTGTGAAGGGTAGAGGAGCGGCTCCGCCCCTCTCCGGCCTGGAAAGTGGCTTCCGCTTGTCCCTGGGAGTCTCAGAGGGCCGTAGCTGGATCCGTGGGGCGGGGTCCTTGGAGGGGGCTCAGCGCCACCTCCTGGGAACCGGCGGCCTCGTTGCTGGGACAGCCGTTGGAGCCTGATTGGTTGGAGACAATCCCTGAACTTCTGGGGAACCCAATCCCTTGGGGGAGGGGGACGGGAGACCCCCCCCACCCCAGCTTGTCCTCCTGCATATCCTATCATCGCAGGGCCCCTCCCCTAGTAGCCTATGTCCCTTGTTCGTGGTCATGGAGACATTTCGACCACCATGGCGGTGCCTCTGTCTGAAGAAGGGGAAGTGACCTCTGGCCTCCAAGCTCTGGCCGTGGAGGATACTGGAGGCTCCTCTGCTTCGGCCAATAAAGCCGAGGAAGAGGGGGAAGGAGGCCGGGAGGAGACGGAGCATGAGGGGTCCGGGGCTGAGGAGATGCTGGGAGAAGCCCCCAGCGCTGAAGGGGAGGAGCATGCCAAGGGAGAATCGGAGGACTGGTGCGTGCCCTGCAGCGATGAGGAGGTGGAGCTCCCCTCCGATGGGCAGGCCTGGATGCCTCCGCCCTCAGAAATCCAGCGGCTCTATGAACTTCTGGCTGCCCACGGTACCCTGGAGCTTCAGGCTGAAATTCTGCCCCGCCGGCCACCCACCCCTGAGGCCCAGAGTGAAGAGGAGAGATCCGATGAGGAGCCTGAGGCCAAAGAGGAGGAAGAGGAAAAGTGAGGGCACGCCCTTGCACCCCGTTCCTGGGCTCGCTCCCTTGGTGCCAGAAATAAATTGGGAGGGGAGGTGGAACCCTGGAGCATGGAAAGTGAAGGGATGGAATGGGGAGGGGAGACCCGCAGGCTGGGGTGTTTGGGGAGACCACCCTCACCCTTCAATTTCTGTCCACCTGTCCCAGACCGCACATGCCTACAGAATTTGACTTTGACGATGAGCCAATGACACCGAAGGACTCCCTGATTGACCGGAGACGCACCCCAGGTACAGACATAGGGGAGAGGCAGGGGGAGGTGAAGGACCTCTACTCCCACTGACTAAAAGGTGACTCCCTAAAAGAGGCCTGTGTTTGGTGCTTTGGGTGCTACGCAACTTGTAGCTGTAGGAGAGAGCATTCCCCCAGTGGTGCCATCGTACCAGCGTGGATAGGTACCCTGTCTTCCTTTCCGAGACTTGCACAGGTGACTCCGTCAGGCTTCCCATTTCTTTTATCTTCATCTCCCCTAGAAGTTCAAGTCTTCCTGGTCATTCTTTATTATCTAGATCCTCATTCCCATATTATTGTGTGACCCAACTGCCTTCCTGGAATCTACCCTGGAGCCATTCTTGATTTCTTTTTCTCTCATCCCAACATCCAGCTAGTAGCAAATCCTGTTAGCTCTGCCTCCACATTTCCAAGCTCAGCTGCTGCTCTCCACCTTCAACCCCACACCCTCATCCAAGCCATTATTTCTCTCTCATTTATTCATTCACTTATTTATTTTTTATGGAAGGCATACCTGTGCACCTGATTGGGGGGCGGGGTGGGGAGGCAGAGGGCAGAGACTCTTAAGCATAAGCAGACTCCACTCCCAGCACAGAGCCCAACTTGAGGCTCAATCTCACGACCCCAAGGTCACGACTGGAGCTGAAATCAAAAGTTCAAGCCCACCAACTGAGTCACCTAGGCGCCCCAAGCCATCTCTTTTGCCTGGATATTTGTGGTGGCACCTAACTGGTCTCCCTGCTTCCATTCTCAGCAACCAGAATAATCCTTTCAAAATATAAATCATGATGCTTCTCTGTTTAAAACCCTCCAAAGGATTCCGTTGTTGGGGGAAATAGCATGTCAAGAGAGAATCCAAACACCACTACTTCCCCTGACTGTCCAGGCCCCCAGGGTTTCCACAGACATTTATTTCCATTTAAACTAAGAGATCCAAACCTCTCATCATGGTCTCTAAGTCATTTCTTTAACTATATATTTCCGTCCCGTCCCCCACCTCCGCTATCCCCCAGCTCTTTATATCCTTCTTGGAACAGACCTCCCTATTCCTGCCCCGGGGCCTTTGCACTTGCTTGTCCCCCTGCCTGGATCTCTTTACCCTGGTCTTCACATTACTGGCCCCTTCTCATAGTTCATAGTTCAGATCTTCACTTTCTACCTCATCTGAGGCCCAACCCCAAACCTCAAGGCCTCCATGACAGAGGCCTAGAAATCTGTATGTTTAATGAGCTCCCCAAGTAGTAACATCTAGGCAGGTCTGATGCACAGCGCCTCACTCCAATCCACACTTCTTACCTTCCTTTTCTCCAGGAAGCTCTGCTCGGAGCCAGAAACGGGAGGCCCGCCTGGACAAGGTTCTCTCAGACATGAAGCGACACAAGAAGCTGGAGGAGCAGATCCTTCGTACTGGCAGAGATGTCTTCAGCCTGGACTCCGAGGACCCCAGCCCCACCAGTCCCCCACTCCGGTCCTCAGGGAGCACGCTCTTCCCCCGCCAGCGGAAATACTGAGTGCTGCCGCCGCCTTTAGGGTGCACAGCATTTGCCGTCTAGGGTCCTTCCCTAACCCAGGGCGCTGGGACACTGGGCAAAAGGAGAGAGAGAGAGGAGAGCCTTCCAAGCTCCCAGCACTGCCCCTTGCCAGAAAGAGAACGTGTGTGCCTATTATGTGCTTACTGTTAAACCTCTCTTTGGAGACCTGGACTGAATTTTCTGAATCCAAAATAAAAAAAAACGCTAAGTTATCTTCTCTTCCAGGGTGGGCTGCTGCAGAAGCCCAGACAGGTGCGGAAGGGCGGGATCATAGTCACCCAGATGGGGAAGTTGAAATTAAAGCCACATGGGGCAGAGGCGAACTCAGCACCTGTCCCCCCTCCACCCACTCCCACTCCCCGCCAGTCTCGGGCCTTCTGATCCTTCCCAGTCTCATTTCAGCACTGCCAGCTGGCTTGGAGGCGTGAGCCTCCTGAGGGCTGAGCTGCAGTGCCTTCAGCTGCTGGAGAAGCCGCCCAGCGGAGAAACGCCGAGAACCAGCTGCGAGGGCCCTTTAAATAGCCAAGCCCCACCCCTCGGAGGCTGCCCTACCCGGACGTGATCTCTAAGGCTGGGCCACGGTGTTTCCCCATCCAAGGGGGGCGGGGGTCTGTAACAGTGCGCTGCTTCCGGGTGTAATTCATACCAGTCCCAACGCCCCCAAACCACTGGTGGGGCCGTGTGTCCCTCCAGGCTTTCCGAGCCCCGTCCTGCCTTCTAGCGCAGCTTGCTTCTGCTGGGGCCGGTAAGACTTCTCGGAGCCTGGGGAGGAAGGTGGGTGGAGGCTTACCCTTGGGAGGTTTGGCTTTTCTTGTTGGACTTTTTTCCTGCCCTTCGAAGTAAAGGTAGGTCAACTTGTTACCTTGCCAACACTCCCCTACCCCCCAAAATCTCAGGCCTCTCCACTTCAGGGTCCCACATCAGAAGTAAGGGCAGAAGAAACTTGGGTCCATTCAGACTCCGTCCTGGGTCCCTGCTGCCAGCCTCTGCTGCCCCCCCTCCTCGGCCCCCCCACCCCCCACCCCGGGCATCTGGGCTCTGGCCTGTCCTCTTAAGCTTTCAGAATGGGATTCCTGTCCCTACCCCCTGCCCCAGATCCTTCATCTCTGCCAAATGTTGAGGCTTTCCTATTTGCCTCGCTTAAGGTTATGCCAGCCGTGGGCCTTGCAGATCCTGTGGGAAGTACTTAGCAAAGCAATCCTGAGGTAGGCTTGACTTCTAGAAGGCGTGGAGGTTGGTGAGCAAAGCTCTTTTTCTCTTTTCGAGGGTGAAAGGAAGGAATGCAAAACTCCTTGATTGCCAGCCTGTGACTGTGGAGATGTCAGAGCCCGCCCTTGACTTCTGGGAAGGTGGGGGATGGTGGTTGATTGAGGCAGATGGCCCTGTGTGGTCTGCTCCCTGCCCCCAGCGGACCCTGGGTTGTGAGGAGAAAGCTGGTTCTTAGAGTGCCAGCCGGTGTGCTCCCTGGGAGCTCCTGCCTGTTTCTGCCTTTGGCACACAGGGCTCCCAGCCTGACCCAGGGTGAGGCTTTCTGGGTGGAGCAGCCACCTTGAATGGATGGCCCTGGGGACAGCCTGAGGTCTCCTAGGTAACTCAGGCTTCTGGGTTGGATGGAGGCTGCCCTCCATCACCCACTCCCCTTGAAGCAGAAAATACTCGCCTGTAAAAGGCCGATCATTTGAAAATACTCAGCCCCAACCAGGTCCGGAGTCCTCCTTTTGTGTTTAGAATCTTAACCTTTCTTCGGGAAAAGCCTGGCCACTTCCTGGTTTGCCAGCTCTCTTCCAGGCTAAGGGCGGAATTCTGAGCCTGTCCTTCGAACATTGGGTGACCCTGAGCCTGAGCCGTGTTGCTTAACTTCTAGGATTAGAGGAATCAGTTAAGGGCAATTAACACCTGGCACAGTCTAAGTCCTTAGTAAGTGGGAGCTGTTATCTGGGGGCTCTTGCTAAAGATCCATGTTCTGGGGTCTCTTCCCCCAGAATCTGGTGCAGCGGGTCTGGGTCAGGCCTGGGAATCAGCGTGAGTCAGAGCCACACTCTTCAGCTGGGTCGTGTGATGGAGCGAGTTTAGAAAACCTTGATCTGGGTCCGGGGTTCTAAAGCCTGGTTCCTGGGTCACTTCTCAACTAGGCAATCTTCTCCTTCAGGGATGAGGGGTTAATTGGGAGCATCCGGGAGGTAGGATGAGGAGAGGAGAAGCAGCATTCTGAGCTGGCAGAATTGTCCCCAGTGAGGCCACTGAGCTGCTCTTCCACGAGGTAGTTGTGGAGCTCAGAGAAGGAAGGAGTGCTTCCTCTTTCCTAGGAAGAGAAGGTCCTAAAACTTTGCTCTTAAACATCATTGCTGGGAGATAAAGTGTCCTAAACGTCCACTCTGGTCCCCTAAAGCTGGCAATAATTTCCCCAAACCAAGCCAGTGTGTAAGCAGCTTCTGTGCAGTCCCTGAGTCAGAAACTCTTCGTTTCTCCGAAACTTAGAATGTTTACAATCAGGGAAATTGCAAAGAGGAGACCCTGTTTATGCCAAATGTCATGTACATTGTCCTAAACCTGGGCTTGATAGAGGTGATGGCGGTGGGCCTCCCCTGCACCTTCCAGCCTGCTTGGGGAAGGGGGCGTGTGTTGGCTAGGGGGCTGGAGAATAAGCAAATGCCGACCCCCCCCCCAAAAGTTTCCCATCTGCGCTCTTCCTGATTCTCCCTCCTCCCAGCCACCCTTTGAGCTCCCCTGCACTGGAGACCTCCTGTGCCCTCTGATCTCTTCACACCCAGGAAATGGTCACTCCTCTTTCCACTTCAGTCTGGGAGACTCCGGCTCTGAGCTAGCAAGTGGCCCAAGATCATGACTGCTCCTCCTTGCTGGGTGTTACAGTCAGCGCGAGAGCTTTTAAATACAGCAGCACTCTGGGTGCCTGGGTGGCTCAGTCTGTCAAGCATCCAACTCTTTTTTTTTTTTTTTTTAAGCTATATTTATTTTAGAGTGAGAGCGCCTGCGGGGGAGGCGGGGTGGGGGTTAGCAGATGGAGTTAGGGGCAGAGGAAGGGAGAGAATCCCAAGCAGACTCCTCGCTGAGCATTGAGCCTAAAGTGTTGCCCCACCTCATGACCCTGACATCATGAGTGGAGCTGAAATCAAGAGTCGGCTGCTTACCCGCCCAGGCGCCCCTAGCATCCAGCATTGATCTCAGCCCAGATGTTGATCTTAAGGTCGTGAGTTCAAGCCCTGTGTTGGGCTCCACGCTGGGTGTAGAGCCTACAGCGGGGGGTAGGGGAGTGGTGGTGGTGGGGGGACAATGTTTGCCCCCACAGCCCTGATGTCAGAATCTGCAGAGATCAGTGGTTTTCAAAGACCTCCAGGGCAGAGAGTAGCTGCTTGAGGCCAGAGCTGCTGGGACTTTAAGGTGCGCCCAGATGGAAAGGAATCTAGTTAAAATGCCAGCCGTCTCAGCAGCTCTTGCAGCCCAAGAAGTCCCCTCGCTAACGAGCTTCAGGCGAGGTGGACCCCGCCCGACGCGGAGCAGCTCGCAGTAAGAAATAAGCCGGTCCCCGAGACACCTGCCCTTGGAGTCACCGCTGGGTGCTCACAGTTGACCCTGAAGGTAGCTGACCGGTAGTGACCAAAGAAACTTCCTGAAAACCATAGTGTTAGGTTCCCTTTTGAGCCAAGACGCTGGTCAAGAACGACCTCTTAACTCAAGGTTGAACCCCACGGCTCATAGCATGTTTCGTTCTCTGCCCCACCACCCATTACTTTCCTATTTTCTTCACGGGTGTGGAGCCGTGTCTGAGGCTTTGGGCAAAAGTTGGCTGGCTCTTGCAGGAGTCTCATGACCCTTGAGGGAGGTGTGGTCTTGCAGAGATGGCCCAGGACAACGGGGCAGATCCTGGAAGCAGGCACCGAAAGGAGGCCTGGGTGGGTTTGGAGTTATGGGGGTGTGCAAACCCGTGTGCTGCCCAGGAGCTTCCCAAGGTCAACACAGTTCTTGACTCTTGTTTTTTGAGGGTCCTCCTACATTGGGAAGAAAATGTTCTGACTGTATGTGTCTGGTAAACCACAGAAGTCTCAATCTGGGACTTGTGACAAACATGGTGCCTGAGTCAGGTCGTTTCCCTGGTTCCCTGGAGAGGCCTCATCTCGAGGCTCCCTTCTGCAGATGATCAGAGTTAAAGAGCAAGAACCTACTGTTCTTGGGTGAAGAGCCGGTGGTCTAGGTGGGAGGCACAGCTGGAGGGCATGGTGGGTTAAGACCCGGTCCTGGTACTGAGACAAGGCCTTGGCTTTGGAACAAGGCGGAAGCACAGGCAGGTCAGCTAGGAGGACTTGCAGCTGACTCACTGAGCTGGGCGAGGCTCTCAGCCTCCCTGACTGGGCCCAGCTGGGGTGACAGATGGTGGAGAGGTCTCAGCCATAGGGAGTGGAGCATTGTCCAAAAAGGACTCATTGGAGGCTGTTCCTGGGGCCTGCTTCCCAGGCCTGCATGGCCTTCTACTGTTAAGCACTTCCCTGGGGGGGGTGCCTCATGGAGCCCTGTCCACACCTCCGTTTATAGCCCTTAGCCCTTCCTCTCCCCCATCTGGCTTCCTGGCCAGGCTTCCACCCTGCAGAGAACTTGGCAGGGGAGCAGCTGGAAAAGGCTTTACTTGGCTTTCAGATGCCCCTTCTTTGCTAGTCTTCTAGCCCCACAGCTGGGGTGACAGGAGACTTGCCATCTTTCTGACCAGTCAACGGGCGGGGGGAGAGGGGGACCCTCTGGTGCTAGGCCGCACCCCCTGATTAAGAGAGCTGGAGCTCAGGCAGTAAGCCACATGAAGAGCCGGGCTCTGTTCCAAATACTTTATGATGACCTCAGTCGCATAACTCGAGTAGATGCCCCATCCGTTCTCCGTTTACAGGCCCAGGAAATGGGTTTAGGGAGGGCAACAGATTGTCTGAGGTTACCCCAACCAGGAAGGGATCCTGGGGGCTGTTCAGGGGCTTCATCAGGGAGCAGCTTCAGAACCATAGTTGGGAGGGACTGGGCCGAAGAGAGGAAGGAACAAGAAGGTCCAGGTGAAAGTGGGGATGAGAACCCATCCAGGAAAGCTGAAAGTCCGCCCCTTTATTTTCAGACATTACCTGAACACAACAGAAAGGGGAGCTCTGATGTTAGAAAAGCCACTCCTACTGGTTACGGGAAATGAACTTCACATAAAAAGGAGCCACAGAAAAGTATCAGGGTCAAATCCCATACAAAGTTTGAGAGAGAGAACATCCTTTAGGATTGAAAAGTGTACCAGGAAAGTGGTCAAAGCCATAACCTTTCAAAATGAGGTAAGACATTAAGGAAACGGTATAAGGCAGGAAATTGGAACTGTAAGTGGGGGCAGTCTGGCTGACTCCAGGCCCCTAACCACGGTCCCATGCTGCCCTCAGAGAGGGATGGGACCAGCCATTCCCTCCGGACTCTCTTCCCAGTGGTACCCCTGATTTGCGGGGTGGCCTGGAATGATTCAAAGTCCCTATGTGGGACTCCGCCACTTTGAGTTACACTGTGTAATCTGGGATCAACCAGCCTCATTTGGCAACCTTCATTAAAGTGTAATATTGCATTCCTCACTTACACTAGTCACCTTACCGGTACTCAGTAGTGACACGTGGGCAGCCCAAAGAGCACGGCTTCAGAAGATGTCCGTCATTAGAGAAAGTTCTGTTGGATGATGCTGAAGTTGAAGGGTTTTAAGCAGGAGCCTGGCGGGTGATGTGAGTGCAGTGGCCCAGGTGTGGGACAGTGGGGACAATAGGTGGGGACTCTGGTAAGCAGGGAAGCTTGTGTCCCGTCCAAAGGGAGCAGGTGCGACCTGGCTGGCTCTGTCTGGTTCTGCCTAGGTGGGGGCAGGGGGTATGTGGCTTCTGCAAGAGAAGCAGCAAATCAGGAGTCTGAAAACTCGTAATTGTTCGACAGCAGCAACAGAAATGTACAGATTGTGTAAATGAATTAAAACTCCTGGGCCTTGCCTCTGTTCTGTAATTCCGTGGCTTCCGCCTGGTTCTCCTGTGGGAAGCCACACCCTCCTCCTTTCCCCTTTTCTCCTCTCGGTTTGGAAGTTGGGTGAACGGTGGAGTAGAGGAGGTGGCCTTCCTTTCTGGTGGTGGCTTCAAAAACATCTGACCAAAGTCTCAGAAGACAGGACTTTGAGTCCCCTAGCAAACTTTGTTCCCTTTGTGTGACTCCAAGGGATAGGTTGTCCAAAGTCCAAGGCATGTTGGGGTGGGGAGGGCAGGGATGGGGTTTAGGTGCGACCTTCCTGAGCAGGCGGAGCATTGATTGGAACCACCCAGGATGCAGAAGGAGGTGGGAGTGGGGGTGGATGGGATACAGACCCATTTATTCCTTTTCCCTTCCCACCTACTGCCCCGACCCACAACTGCAGGAAACCAAGAGTGGTAACAAACCAGAGAGAACTGGGGAGGAAAGGACTAGAATAATTCGGTGTTTCTAATCCAGCTGATTCTAGGGAGTACCAGTTTCGCCAGGGATTCCTCCCTGGAGAGGCGGCCCATGTCTGGACAGTTCATCCCAGATGGCTTAAAGCGCGTGCACATGTGTGTGTGTGTGTGTGTGTAGGGAGTGGGGCAGACAAAGATCGTGTAAATATTCTTGGGCTGTGGGCTAACATTTCAATACAGCTGGGGCCTCAGGACCCCCTCAAATAAAGGTGCCTGCATCCTTGGAGCCAGGGAGCCACTTGGAGCCAGAACTCCCCGCTGTGTTGGGAAAGGCCACCGCAGCTCCAGAGTTTTTATCTAAAGCCCCTTCCAGTGCGGCAAGCAGTGTGGGAAAGGAAAGGAATAGGCAGAGACCCCTGGGCTTCTGTGGTTATGTATCCAGCAGTTCTCAGCAGGGGTCTGGATGGGCTGTGATGCCCTGAGTGAGAAGAAAGGCAGAGGCCGGCTTGGGACGGTAGAGGGCGAAATGATGGGAACTGCGGGGGTGGGAGGTGGGTGGGGAGGAAGGACCCTCTCCCCCATCCCCAGCTGGGCATGAGGCTTGGTGCTGCCTTTGCCAGGCACTTCCCACCCCCACCCCTGTGCTCATCTTGTATCTGCTCCCCACCTGTCTGTCAGCCTGCTGCCCTGGTCTCAGGAGTTGCCATGGCAACTGAAGAGTCCATCATTCGTATCCCCCCGTACCACTACATCCACGTGCTGGACCAGAACAGCAATGTGTCCCGCGTGGAGGTCGGACCTAAGACTTATATCCGGCAGGACAATGAGAGGTGGGTGCTGGGACCTGGCCATGGGGCGTCTGTTCATCTGGTTCATCTGGTACGATCATCCGTCTCCTTCCTGTTCCCAGGCAGGGTTGTCTTCTGACCAGTCTCAGAAGACAAGACTTGGAGTCCCCTAGCAAACTTTGTTCCCTTTGTGTGACTCCAAGGGATATGTTGGGGACTTTGGAGTTTCTCCCCGTTCGTTGTTCTGCTCAGAAGTGGGAACAGAAGCCCCCTGGGTCCCCACACTGCTTCTCACCCTCCAACAGGATCCTGTTTGCCCCCTTGCGCATGGTGACTGTCCCTCCACGCCACTACTGCACGGTGGCCAACCCTGTGTCCCGGGACCCCCAGGGTGCCGTGCTGTTCGACGTCACAGGGCAAGTACGGCTCCGCCATGCCGACCTAGAGATCCGGCTGACCAAGGACCCCTTCCCCCTGTACCCAGGGGAGGTGCTGGAAAAGGTACCTGACTTTGCTTCCTCTGTGACCATACGTCCTTGTCCCAGGGCTCTGCATGGCCTTCGGATGGACACAAGCTGGGGCTGGGAGAGGGGGCGGGGGTGGCATCTGCTGGTTCTCACCAAGGACAGATCCTTGCTTCCTCCACCTGCCTCTGACCCCCACCTGTGCCCCTCCTTTGAGAGCTGGCAGCCCATCTCCGCACCTGACCTTCCAGGCTCCAGACACTGCTAGAAGCTCCTGACCAGTGTGATGCTAAATGGCTTTGCTAAGAGTGGGCATTCGTTCAAATGGTGCCAGACGCTGGTGGGTGGTGCCCGCAGTGGTGGACACGTCGTGGTCCAGGCTCCGACCCTGGGGACTGCCCCACTGGAAGGCGTCACTGGCCTGTGCTCTTGGCCCAGCCCTTGTGCGTGTTGTCCTCAGGCCCTGGGCCCCGAGCAAACGGGCATCTGCCTTGATGTCCATCTGCCTTTACCTCCTCGCCAGTTGATACTGGTTTACTCTGGGCACCTCTACTCACCGGTGCTTCTTGATCCCGGAAGACTCCAGGCACCACCCCCCCAATCCCCCCGGGGAGCTTTGAGACCTTCCTGCCTACTTAGTGGCAGCTTCTTGGGGAGAAAATTGTGTGCATGTCCGGATAGAAAGTGCTGACGGGTAATTAGAATGTTAACCCTTGAGGAATCTGCGTGAGGAGCCTCCGGGAATTCCTTCTACTATTCTGGCCACTTCTGTGTAAATCTGAAACTATCAAAAGCCAAAAATTCTCCATACCCAGGTCTGACCTCCGATCGGATCAGCTCAGTTGCCCTGTGGGTGGGGAGCAGTGTGTGTGTGTGTGTGCGTGTGTGTGTGTGTTGGGGGGTGGTCTTCAGCCCCAGTGTCTAAATTTCCCTAGGATCCCCAGCCGACCGCCACTCATTCTCTCTCACCCCACATTCTCCAGGCCAGGAGGGCAGGGCCTCTCCCTCTCTCCCTCCTCAGAGCCCAATGTCAAGGAGACGTTCCCTTTCCACCCACCACTCTACTCTTGTCCCTCTCTGCCCCTGTGGCTTCTTTCCTCGGCTTCACTAAGGTGGTGCCTTGCTCCATCCTCCCTCCTCCTCCTCCGCTTTTGACTCCTGGGAACCTCACTAATGTCCTTGCAATAACCCTGTCAATGACTTGGCCTTCTTTTTTTTTTTTTTTTTTTTTAAAGATTTTACTTACTTATTTAACAGAGAGACAGAGATCACAAGTAGGCAGAGCAGCAGGCAGGGGTGGGGGTGTGGAACAGGCTCCCCACCGAGCAGAGAGCCCGACGTGGGACTCGATCCCAGGACCCTGAGATCATGACCTGAGCCGAAGGCAGAGGCTTAACCCACTGAGCCACCCAGGTGCTCCTGACTTGGCCTTCTTGACCTCAACCCTGACCCTTGCCTCTTTTCCTTCTGTTTCAGCCCCTTCCGGTACCCTTGTCCAATGAGGACTTGGTATTACTCCCGCTTGGCCTACCTTGGAAATTCAGCCCCAGCTCCTCACCGTCAGCCTCCCTTTCCTGGGCCTCCTTTGTCCTCAGGGCATCTCAGGGCTTCTCATTCTGTCTTCTCTCTCGTCCCTCAGATCCTCTTCCTGGTCTGTCTTTCCTACTCCAACAGGAGCTTATCATTTTAAGTCTCTTGTGTGCAGGACTCAGGGCAAAGCCCAGTCCTGGCTCGGTGTGACCCTTCACCTGTCCTTTCTGTTCTCACAGAAGATCTCACTGAGATGACAGGAATACAAGTAGCTGATGGGTTGAATGGTTCATTCCAAACCAAGCCCTGTTCAGTGGTTCTCTTCCTTCCTAACCAGCTTTCTACTTCTCTCTGCCTGCCTCTAAATATTTATCATTTTCCACTCTCTTCCTATTTTCTCAAGATTTTATTTATTTCTTGAGAGCGAGTGAGTGAGCACGCATGAGTGGGGAAGGAGAAGCAGACTCCCTGCTGAGCAGGGAGTCCTAGGATAAGGCGGGGGCTCGATCCCAGGACCCCGAGGTCATGACCTGAGCCAGAGGCCGATGCTTAACCAATTAACCACCCAGGCACCCTCTTCCCATTTTCTATCCTCATTTGGACAAATTTGTTATATACTTAGAAATCAAGGCCATCTGGTAGGCTCTGGGTCTGTGTCCCCTTACCTTACTCGGTGTGTGTGCTTTTCTCCTTTCTACCTGCTGGAGCCTCCATCCACTGGGCCTGGGAACCCAGCTCCTCATTCTGTAGCTTTTTTGTTTTGTTTTGTTTTGTTTTTAATCTCAGTGTAATTAACATACAGTAGGACGTTATATAGTGACTCAACAATTCCATGCATGACTCAGTGCTTATCACAGGAAAAGTGTACTCTTAGTCCTGTTTACCTAATTTCCCCATCCCCCCACTCTCCTCCTCTCTGGTGACCATTAGTTTGTTCTCTATAGTTAGGCGTCTGTTTCTTGGTTTGTCTCCCCCCACCCCCTTTATCAGTTTGTTTCTTAAATTCCACATTGAAGTGAAATCATAGGTATTTGTCTTCCTCTGACTTATTTTGCTTAGCATTATCCTCTCTAGATGCATTCACCTCATTGCAAATGGCAAGGTTTCATTCTTTTTTTTTTTTTTTTAAGATTTTATTTATTTGGCAGAGAGAGAGATCACAAGTAGGCAGAGACGCAGGCAGAGGCGGGGTGGGGGGGGAGGTGGGAAGCAGGCTCCCTGCCGAGCAGAGAACCCGATGCCGGGCTTGATCCCAGGACTCTGGGATCATGACCTGAGCCGAAGGCAGAGGCTTAACAGACTGAACCACCCAGGAGCCCTAAGTTTTCATTCTTTATTTATGGCCGAGTCCTATCCCATCGTATGTATGTCCCTCATCTATTCCTTTAGTGATGGACACTTGAACTTTCTCTGTAATTTGGCTATTGTAAATAATGCTGCAGTAAACATTGCGGTACATGTATCCTTTCAAATGAGTATTTTCATATTCTTTGGGTAAATACCCAATAGTGTGATTACTGGATTGTAGAGCCATTCTATTTTTAATTTTTTTAAAAGATTTTTATTTATTTGACAGAGGGAGAGAGCATAACCAGGCAGAGCAGCAGAGGGAGAGGGAGGGGGAGAAGCAGGCTCCCCTCTGAACAGGGAGCCCAATGTGGGGCTCGATCCCAGGACTCTGGGATCATGACCTGAGCTGAAGGCAGATGCTTAACCAGCTGAGCCACCCAGGCGCCCCTCTTTTTAATTTTTTGAGGACCGCCCATACTGTTTCCCAGAGTGGCTGCCCCAGCTTGCATTCTCACCAACAGCGCACAAGAGTTCCTTTTTCTCCACATCTTTGCCAACACTGTTTCTTGTGTTTTTCATTTTAGCCATTCTGACAGGTGTGAAGTGATCGCTCATTATGGTTTTGATTTTCATTCCCCTGATGATGAGTGATATTGAGCATCTTTTTGTGTATCTTTTGGCCATCTGGAGGTCTTTGGAGAAACGTCTATTCATGTCTTCTGCCCAGTTTTAATTGGATTACTTTTTGGTGTTGAGTTGTATAAATTCTTCATGTATTTTGGATGTCGGAGATATCATTGGCAATTATCTTCTCCCATTCTGTAGGTTGTCTTTTAGTTTTGTTGGTTGTTTTCTTTGCTATGCAGAGACTTTTTATTTTGATGTAGTCCCGATGGTTATTTTTGCTTCTTTTTTTTTTTTTTTTCTCTTGCCTCAAGAGACCTATCTAGAAAAATGTTGCTATAGCCAATGTCAGAGGCATGACTGTCTGTGTTGTCTTCTAGGGTTGTTATGGTTTCAGATCTCACATTTAGCTCCTTAATCCACTTTGAGTTAATTTTTGTGTAAGAAAGTGGTGCAGTTTCATTCTTTTGCATGGAGCTGTCCAGTTTTCCCAATGCCATCTGTTGAAAACACTTTTCCCCCATTGCATAATCTTGCCTCCTTTCTCAAAGATTAATTGACCGTACAGTCAAGGCTTTATTTCTGGGCTCTCTGTCCTGTGTCATTGATCTATGTGTCTATTTTGGTGTTGGTACCATACTGTTCTGATCACTACAGCTCTTTCAAGAGCTGGGCTCCTTCCCAGGACCCTGAGATCATGACCTGAGCCGAAGCCAGACGCTCAACCGAGTCACCCAGGTGCCCCTGCCAGTGTAGTTTGAATGAACTTCTGCACGTTGGTGCGTAAGTCTGGTTTGCCATACGTAATTCCATATGATATGCACGAGCTCAGCCATTCTCCTCTTGAATATATTTTAGGGTGTTTCCAATTTATAGGGAAAAATTTTGCCACAAATGTACTTGTCTGTGGTGCATGCTGAAGTTTGCTGCCTTTTTCGATGGGAGAAAATATTGGGGGGCCTGGCTGGCTCAGCCAAAGTGACTTGACCTTGATCTCAGGGTCATAAGTTCAAGTCCTGTGTTGGGCATGGAGCCTACTTAAAATAAAAAAAAAAAGGGGGGGGTGGGTAGAAACTACTAAGCATTGCCAGATCCCAGGATATGCACACCAAATCTAAAAGTATGAACCTTTAGGAGTGGCCTGTAAATTTGATTTCTAGCTATTTACTACCTTTTCTTTCCTTGCTTACATACTCTTTGATACTTGATCCTCTGCCCCATTTCCTCATAAGCCCCTGCATCTGGTCCTTGCCCTCACCTCCACTGAGCTCACTTTGGCAAAGCCCCAAGGCCATCTCACTGCAGCCTAATGGCCATTCTTTCCCTCCCCACCACCCCGATCTGTTGTTCTCCCACATTCCCAATTTTATGTGATGATATCACTGGGTACCCAGTCACCTGAGTTGGAAGCCTGCAGTGATATGGGGGATGAACTGGAAGGAGACAAAGGTGGCAGGTGGAGACCGGTTACTAAGAACTTTCCATCCTTCAGCTGAGAGACGTTGGCAGCTTAGGTGAGGGAAATGGCAGCAGTAGATAAAGGCAGACCCAGCTTTCGATGGAACAGGTAGGAAGTGATGGTAGAATAGATTTGGGAGGGGACAGACCTGCTGGTCTATATGTTCCTTCCAGAATGCGCCCCATTTCCTCCTCCTCCCACACCTTTGCATCCGAAGCCAGCTCTTCCTTTGAACCCCAGCTCAAATGCCACTTCTGAAGGACCTTTCCTAACTTCCTTTGGGCTTTTTGCTGCCTCTGTCTCTTCCCGCTGACACCGCCCATGGTCTTCTTGAAGAGAAAGGTCTGTATCTGTCTTGTCACCTGCTGGAACTTGCAATCCATGAAGCCGGGGCTAGCCTGTGCCCTACCCCCCCACCCCCACTGCCACGGGCCAGCTTTGGGGGGTGTACATCGAAGGCGTCAAGGAAGGGCTTGCCTGCCCAGTGAGCCTCCAGCTCTGCCTCCAACCCCATGTGTGGCCAGTGGGGAGAGTGGAATTACCTGACCTCCTCCACCCCAGGGCCACTCTGGGCAGAGTAAGGCGGGCAGGCAGGCTTCAGGAAGACGGCGGTTCAAGTCCTTTTCCTGTTCCTTACAAGTTGGGTGACCTTGAGCGTGTCTCTTAGCCTCTCTTTGGCTCTCTTTGCTTGTTTTCCTGCCTCCCTCAAACCAAAGACCAAGTGAAGTCCTACTCATAGAAATCTTTCTACAAACTTCTAAAAGGTCTGGGTACTTGTTGCCAGGTGCCTCTTCCTGACAAAGGGAGATGTGATGTCTCCAGGACAGCAGCTGTTTTGTGACCATGAAGCAACACTGCCAACAAAGCCACGTGCCCAAAGTGTGTCTGTTACAGCTGTTCAGGCTTCCCACTTCCTTAACGCTCCCCAGAGGGCCCTGGTGCACACGAAGCCCAGAGGCGTTTCCCGCCTAGATTTGTAGCTCAGAACCACTTCTGAGCGCTTCCTCTGGAGGAACATGTGTCCTTGGCTCACTGGCCGTGAGTCCGCTTGCTCTCTCTTTGTTCTTCAGACCAGATGGCTTTAGGACCACCCCTAGCTTGCATATTCCACTTGGGGGTTTGTCTGGGGACATGGGAAGATTGACACTGTGGCCTCTGACCTCCAGGGTATGGGGTTTGACTCCAGGGGCCATAGTACTGAATGTCCCATGACCTCCCTTCTTCCCCTGTTAGGACATCACGCCCCTACAGGTGGTTCTGCCCAACACTGCCCTCCATCTTAAGGCGTTGCTGGATTTTGTGGATAAGAGCGGAGACAAGGTGGTAGCAGGAGACGAGTGGCTATTTGAAGGACCTGGTAAATTCCTTGTGTTGGCCGGCATTTGGGTCTGAGGCTCCCTGCATTTCCATGATGGCTTTGATCCCTGCCGGACTTCACCCTCTGTACCCCCTTCCCTTCCCAGGCACCTATATCCCCCGGAAGGAGGTGGAGGTCTTGGAGATCATTCAGGCCACAGTCATCAAGCAGAACCAGGCCCTGCGACTGAGGGCCCGCAAGGAGTGCTGGGACCGGGAGGGCAAGGAGAGGGTGACAGGTGGGGTCGATGAAGGGGTGCGGATGGGGGTGGGCGTGGGCGGGCCTTGTCTTGCCTGCGGGTGTGGGGATGGCCCCTTGCAGCCTGGGAGGAAGTGCTTGCCTGGTATGTCTTCGAAGCTTCTGGGGGCCGCCCGTGGCTGCTTTCCCCCCACCCAGCTTCATGTCACCTCTGCCCTGACCCTGTTACCATGAACATGCTGACCTGGCTTTTCTGTCCCCCTCCCCTTTACCATGGGCCAGGGGACAGCAGTCGGCGCCCCTCTCTAGATCAACAAAGCAAGTGTTGGTATACAACTAGCAATTGTATTTGGCCCTTGTGATGTTCTCTGTCTGTGCCAGGAGTGGCTCAGAATGCTCTACAAATGGGAACTCACATAGCCCCAAACCACCTCAAGGCCCTAGGAGTCCCCTTCTTCCTGTGACCTCACTGAGGCCTGGAAGTGAGGTTACTTCCTGGGCTTTATGGTGAGCAAGGGCACTCTTGCTCCTTCCAGAAACGAGACCGTATTTCCCACTCTCTTAGGGGCAGTGCTGCCCACTTCGGGGGGAGGGTAAAGTTCATCTTTGGAGCTCAGAGAAGGCATGGCAGCCTTCGTGAGCCCTTAGGTGGCTTTGCCTATTGTCCTGGGTCGGGGTTGGTTTCCTCTGGCCTCAGAAAATAATTAATGTGGGCACTCTCATCAGGCCCTGGCACCTGAGGCCATGGCATCTCCCCTACAGAGCCTGGCGGGTGCCCTGTTGTCTGGGCTGTGGGATGGGGCAGCTGGGGAGCAGGCCAGGTGACCTTTGACCCTCCCCTCTCCATCCTTGGCCCAGGAGAAGAATGGCTGGTCCGTGCCGTGGGCGCCTATCTCCCAGCAGTGTTCGAGGAGGTTCTGGATTTGGTGGATGCTGTGATCCTCACAGAAAAGGTCTGTGCTCTGGGGATGAAGGGACCCTGGAGTAGGCCTCATTCCTAGTGGCCAGAGAACGTGACAGTAGATGAGAGGCAATATTTCTGGGGCCACTCGCAGAAAAATGTGGAGGTCAGCTCCCTGAGGAGCATCCTGGGTCCTCTGAGGATTAAAAGGTCCTCCTGGGCTGGTAGAGACTGGCATTCTGGCCCTCGAGCACTCGGTGGCCGGTGGGTCTCCCTCCCCTGAGGAAACTGGAGGTCGGTTTCCTCCAATGCCCTGACGTCTTGTTCCACAGACAGCCCTGCACCTCCGGGCTCGGCAGAACTTTCGAGACTTGAGAGGAGTGAGCCGCCGTACCGGGGAGGAGTGGTTGGTGACAGTGCAGGACACGGAGGCCCACGTGCCAGACGTCTACGAGGAGGTGCTAGGGATTGTGCCCATCACCACCCTGGGCCCCCACAACTACTGTGTGATTCTCGACCCGGTTGGACTGGATGGCAAGAACCAGCTGGGGCAAAAGCGTGTGGTCAAGGTAAAGGCCTCCAGCTCTCCGGGAAGGCTGAATGCCCTTGAGGGCTGTGAGGCCCTGGGACCCCTCCCTTCCCTCCTCCCACCCCAGGTCCACTTTCTAGAAGCATCAAGCTTGTTCTGGCTCCCTTGGTGCATTTGCACACCCGAGTTCTGTCTTTTGAGACACTGTACTATGGATCTCCCTGTGCCCCCCAACCTCCGTTTACACGTAGTCTCTTCTGCAGGCCCCTCCTGGGGCCCATCCGTGCCTGCCATCCTGGAAACTTTGTCCTTGTCCTGCACAAAACAAACCTCTTGGTTTATACTTCTCCCCACCTGCTGCCTCACCCTTCCCTTAATGAGACACTGGCCTGCCAGGGATTGGCAGGGATCTGCTGGGAAGCTCCAGACCACAGATATTCTAGTCTTTACGAGTGGTGTGCTTTTCTTGCCAATACACGGTGCTCTTGGAGCAAAAGCACAGACAGCTTGTAAATGAAAGAGTGTCTCTGCGTCCCTGTAACATTTTGCTTCCAGAAACAGGTGGATCTGTCAGTGGATGAATGGGTAACAAATTGTGGCCTCTCCACACAGTGGAATATCCTTTAGCTATAAAAAGAAACAAACGTGTACTGATGCTCGTGTACTAATGATCAGGGTGTACTCACACCTGCTGCTCCACGGATAAACAAACATTCTAAGCAGAAGAGGCCACGCATAAAAAGACCACATATTGCATGATTCCATTTATGTAAAATGTCCCAGATGGGTAAATCCATAGATAGAAATAGATGATCGTTTATAGCGAGTAGGGATGGACAGACATTAGCTGCTGCTGAGTACAGGGCTTTTCAAGGTGATGAAAATATCCTGGGGTTAGAGCACAGTGGTGATTGGACAACTCTGTGGACAGCCCAGAATAGCTAACCTATATACCTTATTTATTTACTTATTTTTAAGGTTTTATTTCTAAGTAATCTCTACACCTAACATGGGGGTCAAACTCAAAACCCCAAGATTGGGGGTTGCACGTTCCACTCAGTGAGCCAGCCTGGCACCTCTGAATTGTGTGTGTGTGTGTGTGTGTGTGTGTGTGTGTGTTTTAAGATTTTTTTTTTTTTTTAAAGATCTTATTTATTTGACAGAGAGAGGGAGATCACAAGTAGGCAGAGAGGCAGGTGTGGGGTGGGGGAAGCAGACTTACCGCTGAGCAGAGAGCCCAATGCGGGGCTCAACCCCAGGACCCTGAGATCATGACCTGAGCCGAAGGCAGAGGCTTTACCCTTAACCCACTGAGCCACCCAGGTGCCCCTTTAAGATTTTTTATTTATTTGACAGACAGAGATCACAAGTTGGCAGAGAGGCAGGCAGAGAGAGAGGAGGAAGCAGGCTCCCTGCTGAGCAGAGAGCCTGATGCAGGGCTTGACCCCAGGACCCTGGGACCATGACCCGAGCTGAAGGCAGAGGATTTAATCCACCAAGCCACCCAGGAGCCTATATATATATAAAAATATACATATATAAAAATATATATATATTAAATATATTTATATATTAAAAATTATATATATATATTTTTAAAGATTTTGTTAGCGAGAGAGCTCAAGTGCACAAGCAGGGGAAACAGCAGGCAGAGGGTGAAGTAGGCTCCCTACTACTACTACTACTTCTACTACTCCCTACTAAGCAGGGAGCCTGATGCAGTACTTGATCCCAGGACCCTGGGATCATGACCTGAAACAAATGCAGACTCTTAACTGACTGAGCCCCCCCAGGCACCCGTGAACTGTATACTTTATTTTTTCCCCTTTTTTAAAATTTCAGTTTCAATTAACATCTAAGGTATTACAGGTTTCAGAGGTAGAGGTCAGTAACTTGAATTGTATACTTTTTTATTTATGCTAAGCAGTGACTATGTAATGTAGTTCTGCTTTTTTTAAATTTTATTTATTTATTTGATAGAGACACACAACAAGAGAGGGAACACAAGCAGGAGGAATGGAAGAGGGAGAAGCAGGCTCCCTGCTGAGCAGAGATCCCGATGCGATGAGGGACTTAATCCCCGGACTCTGGGATCATGACCCAAGCTGAAGGCAGACACCCAATGACTAAGCCACCCAGGCGCCCCTGAATTGTATACTTTAAATGAACAAATTTTATAGCATATAGATTATATCTCAAACATATAATTAAAAAAAAAAAGCCAGATTTGGCCCAACGCCAGGGTCTGCCAATGCCCAGACTACACCATCCCAAGGAAACAAGGCATGGGAGAAACGGCAACAGAAGCTTTCTTCTCAATTGTCAAGCCTGCGAAGGTCCCGCTCACAACCGTGTACAGAATTCGTCAAGGGTGGTTTGGACCACGTGAGGTCTGTAGGCATTTGTAGAGAACCCCCCGGTCCAGACAGTGCCTCACTGTATTACAGCAGGAGTGTGTGTGGGGAGCTTTGGGGGCTCCTGTTCTCAACACAAGCCTGTGACCGCAGGAAGGACTGTCCGGGTTGCAAGTCAGGGACGTAGCCGTGGGCGGCGCCCACTCCTAACCCCGTATCTCTTCCCCAGGGTGAAAAGTCCTTTTTCCTCCAGCCCGGAGAGCGGCTGGAACGAGGCATCCAGGATGTCTACGTGCTGTCAGAGCAGCAGGGGCTGCTGCTGAGGGCCCTGCAGCCCCTGGAGGAGGGAGAAGAAGGAGAGAAGGTCTCCCACCAGGCTGGGGACCGCTGGCTTATCCGGGGGCCCCTGGAGTATGTGCCGTCTGCCAAGGTGGAAGTGGTAGAGGAGCGTCAGGCCATCCCTCTGGATGAGAACGAGGGCATCTACGTGCAGGATGTCAAGACTGGAAGGGTAACAGCTGAGGGATGGGTGTCTTCACTGCTCCATGGCCATGGAGATGGCTTGCGTGGGCTGACGGGGACAGGTGCGCGGTGGGGCGGGAGACTTCGACAGCCTTGATGGTGGCATCTGAGCTGGCTGGCTGGTAGGCGTGAGGGCATTCTGGGGAGTGTTTGCCTTCCCTATTTTTAGAGAGGGAGTAGGGAGGGGCAGAGGGAGAAGGGGAGAGAATCCTGGGCCCCACGCCCAGTGCAGAGCCCAGTGCAGCACCCAGTGCGGCTCAATCTCATGTGACCTGAGGCAGAATCAGGAGTCAGATGCTTAACTGACTGAGCCACCCAGGCACCGCATTAAATAGCTCACTTTAAGTTTGAGGAAACCCCCCAAGGGAGGTGATGAGCCAGGTTTTAGGATGGGGACTCTGGTCCCAGGATAAAGGTCTGACTGGGGAGTGGCCTAGGAGCACCAAGAACCCGTGAAGAACTCCTCTCCCATGTTCTTATCCTGGTGGAATCCTTCCTCTTTGCCCCCTCATCTGAAGCCTTGAACTTGGTTTGACCTAGAACCACATCCCAACCTCTTTCTCTAAGAGTCCAACCTAGAAGTAGAGCTCAGAATCCCAGGGAATGTTAGTGGATATTACCTATTTCCTAGGATTGACTGCCTCTGTCCCTAGGATGCCCTCCAAGTTGCCCAGAGAAGGAAAATTACAGAAGAAATCAGATCGAACCCTTACCACAGACCAGGTTCTCAGCACTAGACCCGGGCGAGGTCCTTCATTCCTCGACCCAGGGAGGTAGCCGGTGGCGGGTCCGTTCTGTGGATGGGGACCTAAAGCCTGGCAGACCCGCTCTGGAGACTGAACCCAGCCACCGCGCTCTACTGCCCCCGAGACCAGCTCTATTTTGGGACAGCTGGCTGGGTCCTTCTCCCTCTTACCTTCCCACATGACGTCCCCTGCCTTGTCCTCCTCTCTCAAGGTACGTGCTGTGATCGGAAGCACTTACATGCTGACCCAGGACGAAGTCCTGTGGGAGAAGGAGCTGCCCCCTGGGGTGGAGGAGCTGCTGAACAAGGGGCAGGACCCTCTGGCCGACAGGGGTGAGAGGGAGACGTCCAAGACCCCTCAGCCCACCACTGTCCGGAACAAGACCCGTGTGGTCAGCTACCGGGTCCCCCACAACGCGGCTGTGCAGGTGTATGACTACAGGGAGAAGAAGGCTCGGTGAGGGGCTGGCTGGGGGGTGGGGGGGCTGGCCGCGGGGGCTGGTGGCGAGGTGGTACAGGTGACTGGGGGGAGGTGCTGGCTGCAGGGTTGGGGGTAAGGTGGGACAGGTGACTGGGGGGGTGAAGGTGAGGGGTTCTCCATGTGTCTGACTCCATGCTCCTTCTGCAGTGTGGTCTTTGGGCCCGAGCTGGTGTCACTGGGTCCTGAAGAGCAGTTCACTGTGTTGTCCCTCTCGGCCGGGAGGCCCAAGCGTCCCCACGCTCGCCGTGCACTCTGCCTGCTGCTCGGGCCTGACTTCTTCACAGATGTCATCACCATCGAGACCGCAGACCATGCGAGGTTGCAGCTTCAGCTTGCCTACAACTGGTGAGTGGCAGGGAGGGACAGCGAGGTCAGTGGTGCCGGGTTCGTCATGGGGGCAGGACGCCCGACTCCATGCCGTGGCCGAGAAGGAAACCCAGCCTGATGCCCAAGGCGGGTGATGGGAAGGTGCAGGCTCCCCTCCCAGGAGTAGGATTTGGTGGACATGGTTGGGGGGACCTCCCCAGCTAAATGTGTCCAGCCAACCACGTAAGGGCAAGGTTCCGCAAATGTCAGCCAGACACGCCCCATTAGAGGGGACATGTGTGGGCAGTTGTCACAAGCACACACTCAGGGGCTCACTGCCTGGGTCCCAGCCCTGCTGCCTGCTAGCTGTGGACCTGGGCAAGGGACTCGGCACTTTCCTCAGTTTCCCGATCTGTAAAATGAGAACGGCCACCATCCACCTCCCAGGGCTGTTGAAAGGGTACAGCGAGGATTAGAGCAGCGCCCCACACCCCACATGTAGTTAGTAGCAGCGCCTGGAGCTGGGGGGGCAGGGGCAGGAGTCCCATCCAGAAGCTGGGCTCCACCTCCACCACCTCTTGGCCAGGACTGTGACAGAGGCAGATGGGTGTGGACATCGCGGGGGCGTGACAGCTAAGAGCATAGACCAGAGTCACGCTCCCCGAGTTCAGCTCTCCACCTTGCCGCAATCCTGTGACTTCGGGCCTGTCCCTTGACCTCCCTGAGCCTCTGTTTCCTCATCTGTGAGAGGGAATAACACCCATCCCTACCACCTAGGGTGGCTGAGAGAATGAGATGGGACCCACCTGGGCGCATGGCGGGTATGAGTTCACCCTCTCCATTGAGAGACCCTGGCCGGTCATAGAGGGTGGGCATCCGAGTCCCTTTCAGAGATGAGAGACTTGCTGTGTCCTGGAGGAAAACGGTGTCCCCATTCTGGGCCTCTTTGCTCACAGGCACTTCGAGGTGAGTGACCGGAAGGACCCTAAAGAGACAGCCAAGCTCTTCTCGGTGCCTGACTTTGTGGGCGACGCCTGCAAGGCCATTGCGTCCCGGGTGCGGGGGGCCGTGGCCTCCGTCACTTTCGACGACTTCCACAAGAACTCCGCCCGCATCATCCGCACAGCTGTCTTCGGCTTTGAGACCCTGGAAACCAAGGAGCCCGAGAGAAGGTCCCTGCCCCAGCCCCGGGACCGGGCCGTCTTCCCCCAGAACGGACTGGTGGTCAGCAGTGTGGACGTGCAGTCGGTGGAGCCCGTGGACCAGCGGACCCGGGACGCCCTGCAGCGCAGCGTCCAGCTGGCCATCGAGATCACCACCAACTCCCAGGAGGCGGCTGCGAAGTGAGTGTGGCCTGGGGGAGGGGCGCCCGCTGCTGACACTGCCCGCTGTGAGCTGGACCTCTCCACGGTCCTTCCTCACCCTCAGCCCTTGGCCAAGACCTGGGTGATGTGGCATCCCCGCCCCAGTCGGCCCGCCGTCCTCCTTAGCAGATAGCGTGGGCCACTTCAAGTACAACCCCGTGCCAACCTGCGCCAGTGGCGTCCTGTCTTGCTTGTGCTAGAACCCAAACTCGCTTCTGTGGCCTTCCAGGCCCTCAGGTGTCCAGCCCTGCCTCCCCCACTCCACCTTCCAGCCTCTCCCCAGGCTCACATGCTCTGATCCCCACCCCCTCCAGCTCCTTTCTGCCCCTTGACAGCACAGCAGGGTTCCCATGGTAGGGCCCTCTGCACTGGCCATTCCCTGGGCTTGGAATGCTTTTCCACCCTAGAGTGCTCCTTGGAGGGCCTCTTTCTTCCTGAAAAGCACCCTCTCTGCCTGGCCCTGCTGTCACTAAACCCGTTTTCAGGGAACTTGTCACTATCAGAAATCACCCGCATTCGTTTGGTTCTCCTGCCTGAAAGGTCGGCTGCATGGAAGCCGGGGCCTCTGTCATGGCTGCATCCCCCGTGCTTAGAATCGCGCCAGGTGGGGCGCCTGGGTGGCTCAGTGGGTTAAAGCCTCTGCCTTTGGCTCAGGTCGTGATCCCAGGGTCTTGGGATCGAGCCCCGCATCAGGCTCTCTGCTCAGCGGGGAGCCTGCTTCCTCTCTCTCTCTACCTGCCTCTCTGCCTACTTGTAATTTCTGTCTGTCAAATAAATAAATAAAATCTTAAAAAAAAAAAAAAAAAAAAAAAAAAAAGAATCGCACCAGGCTGGCAACGTGCACATTCGTCTTCTATTTGTGTGCTGAGTGCCGCCCGTGTGCGCGGTAGATCAGTAGGCCCTGCCTTTGGAGTTCTGTTGGAGATCGGGCCCATGCCAGCATCTTCCCTGTCCCTGTCCCCTCTCCCATCCAGGCACGAGGCTCAGAGGCTTGAGCAAGAAGCCCGCGGCCGGCTCGAGAGACAGAAGATCTTGGACCAGTCCGAAGCTGAGAAAGCTCGCAGGGAGCTCTTGGAGCTGGAGGCTCTGAGGTGGGTTGAGAACCGGAGGAAAAGAGGGCTGGGCCTCTGCAACAGCAGCGGGTGGAGGGAGTGAGGCATGAGGGACACCTGCTCTGGCATAAGTCAAGGCTGGGGGAGGGCCGGGTTGGGCCAGCCGTTCTCCTGGGTGTCCTCTGACTCTTCCTCACCCCCTCTCACACCCCTAGCACCGCCGTGGAGAGCACAGGGACCGCCAAGGCAGAGGCCGAGTCCCGCGCAGAGGCCTTGCGCATCGAGGGGGAGGGCTCCGTGCTGCAGGCCAGGCTGAAGGCGGAGGCCTTGGCCATCGAGACGGTGAGTGGGGCCGACGCCTGTGGGAGGGCAGGGACTTGGGGTTCCCCATCACTGCACCCCAGCACCCCTCAGTTTGTTTCCCAAGATTAAGAGTCTCTTATGGTTTGTCCCCCTCTCTGCTTTCGTGTTTTCTTTCTTTCTTCTCTTCCCCTATGATCCTCTGCCTTGTTTCTCAAATGCCACATACCAGTGAGACCATATGATGTCTCTTTCTGATTGACTTAGTTCGATGAGCATAATACCCTCTAGTTCCAACCTCAGAGAAGGAGAGAGAGAAGCTTAATAAGCAGGCTCCATGCCTAGCTTGGAGCCCCACACAGGGCTTGATCTCACAACCCAGAGATCATGATCTGAGCTGAAGTAGAGAGTCAGATGCTTAACCAACTGAGCCACCCAGGTGCCCCTGTGAAAGCCCTGTTCAAATATTGGGTGGTTTATGAAGTCCTTTGCCCTGTCTGGTGTGTAACACTCGTGCAAATGTCGGCCAGCTTTGTGACAACCTTTGCATTGTCTTACACACGTGGTCTTACTTAATGCTTGACATCCCACTAAGGGGTAAGTAGTATATCCATAGGACAGATGAGGAAACCAAGGCTTAGATTAAGGACTCCCACTGCTCCCTAGCTTAAAAGGTAGCCCAGCGAGGATCCATAGTCGACCAGCAGTTTGCAGTTCCATCCCTTGGCCTCTGGTCCTTCAGGCCTGCTGGTTGGGGGACTTGCTGGACCGTTCCCAGGGGCCCCACAAGGGAAAGAATGCTGCATTTCCCTCTCTTCCAGGAGGCCGAGCTCCAGCGGGTGCAGAAAGTGCGAGAGCTAGAACTAGCCTACGCCCGGTCCCAGCTGGAGCTGGAGGTGAGCAAGGCCCAGCAGCTGGCTGAGGTGGAGGTGAATAAGTTCAAGCAGATGACGGAGGCCCTGGGCCCCGGCACCATCAGGGATCTTGCAGTGGCCGGGCCAGAGATGCAGGTGAGAGTGGGGAGGGAGCAGGAGAGAGAGAGAGAGAGAGAGAGAGAGAGAGAGAGAGAGAGAGAGTGTGTGTGTGTGTGTGTGTGTGTGTGTGTGTGTGTGTGTGAGTGTGACACTCAGGACCATACTTGGAACCCAGAAGGCAGCGCTGGGGGCAGAGGGGCTGGGGGAGGTGGAGATGGGACAGTCCTGTACCCCATGCCCGTGTCCTCTGTTGGGCACTGCACTAGCTTCATCCGGGATGGACAGTAAGCAGCTGAGCCACCAGTCTGTGGTCAGTGCTTTGAAGGAAGTCAGGTGGGTGCTGCTGGATGGCTTAGGGAGAGCGGCTCTGAGGAGGGATACTTGAGGTCAGAGTAGAGTTGACGGGAGCTTCCTGGGAGACGGTCCAAGGACAGAGACACAGAGAACAAAACTCAGTGTGTTTAGGAACAGAAAGGACCACATGGCCGTAACCCAGAGTGAATGGTGAGCGGCTGAAGGCAGGACGGGGATGGCTGGGTCTTCTAGGTCTCCTGTGCCCCAGGAAGAAACTTCAGGTTCCCCGCTCCCCTTCTTCACTTCTTATCCCAGACTTCTCCTGGGAGGATGGCTTGGGTGGCAGCCCTGGTGGCAGATGGATGTGGGTGGGGGCAGAGGAGCAGAGAAAGGGACAAGGGCCTGACTCCCCCTTCCCGGTCGCCTCTTGCCCTTCCAGGTAAAACTGCTCCAGAGCCTGGGGCTCAAGTCGGCCCTCATCACCGATGGCTCCACGCCCATCAACCTCTTCAACACAGCCTTAGGTCTGCTGGGGGTGGGGTCTGAGGGCCAGCCACCGGCCCAGAAAGCAGCCAGCAAGCCCGGCCCCCCGGAGGGCTTGCTTCTTGGGTCCACTCCCGTCCCTCCAGTTCCTGGAGGCAATCACGTCGTGCCTTAACTCTGAGCTGCACTTACCAATAAAACACTTCTGGGCATTGAAACAACCTGGGCCTCGTGTCTGCGTCACAAGGGAGCTTAGTGGATACCCCTGAAATCTTAAGGTAGTACTACGGACTGTCCTCCTCTGTCAGGTGGAGAGGAAACTGAGGCAGAGAGAAGTCCTAGCTGATAGGAATGTGACCCCACAGTCTAAATGGCCAGACGGTCTTTTGGCGGTCAGCCCTCTTGGACCCCCGGTCAGGAAGAGGACACCGCAGGGGAGAGAGTGGCGCCCACCCAGCTGGTCCCTCCGGGGGAGCTCGCGCCAAGTGCTCCAGGGGCCGGGAGGTGTTGGAATCCGGGTCTGGGGGCCCCAGCGCTTGGGCTGCTCCCTCTGGCGCCACCTGCTGGTCACACTGCAGACCTGGCGGGCCTGGGCACTTGTCCCTCAGGGGGAACTGGGGTGCATCCCTGAGGTTCTGGGATGGGCTCTTCAGGAGCAGAGGGAGGAGTCCCCTCTTTCCACCCTCCCCCCACAACCAAGGCAGAGCCCTTTCTTGGGGGAAGCATCCGGGCAGGATCAAATCCTCCTCAAGAGGAGACCTGCTAGTGCTCCAGCCCTTTGCTCAGGGAGAGCAGTGGGAACCAGGTCTGCAAACCAAGTAAAAGGATCCTAGGGATAGAGGAGACAGAAGCTCGGGTTTTCTTTCTGTGTGGCTGGAGAAGGCAACTTCTTGGCTGCCTTCCATCCAGGAAAGGGTTCAGCAGCTGTTCCCCTCCTGTACAGGGTTGATGCTTTGTGTTGGGGTGTCCTCCTCTTCCTGCACCGAGGCCTGACCCCGCGAGCCTGGTCTCGTTTGGAGTTGAGTTTTATTTGTGTGGCTGGTGGCTCTGCTCAAGTCTGCCCTTGAGGGCGCCTGGGTGGCTCAGTTGGTGAAGCCTCTGCCTTTGGCTCAGGTCATGATGCCAGGGTCCTGGGATCAAGTCCTGCATCGGGCTCCCAGCTCCATGGGAGTCTGCTTCTCCCTTTGACCTTCTCCCCTCTCATGTCCTCTCTCTCTCTCTCTCTCTCTCTCAAATAAATAAAATCTTAAAAAAAAGGGGGGGGGGGAGAAAAAGTCTGCCCTTGAGGCCAGGGTTTGACCACTGAGCCCGCAGTCAGCGGTGGGACTTGGTGGGACAGGCTCCGAGTTGACAGAACGGCAAGGCAGTCAGCACCCCCAGCCTTGCTTCTGACTAACCGTCCTACATCTTCCTTGAGAGAGGTATGAATGTGTGCGGGTACCAGATGCTCATGGCCAAGGGCTTCTGGGGATAGGTGACAGCAGGCAAGGTTGTCCTTGGTGGCTATATTCCTTCCCCTCAGCAGCCAGCTCCCATCGCTGAGCCTTTGACCTTGTCCTAATAATCTTACCGCCTCTGAAACCTCAGCTTCTGCTGCCTCACCTTCCCAAACTGTTCCTCCAACTCCAGTCTTCTGTGACCTTGACCCCAACCCTCCCTCTCAACCTTGACACCCACCCTTGCATATCCATCCTGTCCAGAACTCACTCATCAGAAACCTCCCTCCTTAACTCCATCTCTCCCCTTCCCCCGTGATACTCAGCCCCATCCCTTCCTAAACCAACCACTGCCCACTCCGCCCACTCTGCAGCCTGGGACTAGCTGCAGGATGCTGGGGATGCTGGGAGAGCTACGTCCCACTTGCTGACTGATCTCCTTTTAAACTCATGGCAACACATCTTAAGGGAGACCCAGGGCCTCTGACTCTGCTTCTCTGGGCCTGTGGGAGCTCTCCTTCAGAACAAGCACTCACACCCTTCCTCCCAGTCTCCCACATCCCCACCCACTTGCTCTCACCTCTTAGAGAAAATAGAAGCGCACTGGGCAGGAGGCCCCTCTGTTTCCCGGCAGCCAATGTAGCAAATTCCCAGCACCTGGAGTCCGTCCTCCCTCCTGTTCCCAGTGGGGACATGGCCCCCTGGGCCTCCTCCCCCTGGGCTCTAGATCCCTGATCGCAAGCCCTCCCGAGTCCACTCTGTGGATCATCTTTCTGGCCTGTGCTATCCACCCTTCCCCTCCGGGCTCCCTGGCCCAAGCCGATGAGCAGCCTCTCCGCTCTGGCCCACAGTGGAAGCAACACGAAGGCTCTCCCCGGGCCCTGCCTTCCCTCCAGCTGCCACTGCTCCCGTCTCTTTCCTTTGCAGCCACATTTCTTTCTTTTTTTTAAGATTTTTTATTTGTTTATTGGGCACTGAGAGAGAGATCACAAGTAGGCAGAGCAGCAGGCAGAGAGAGAGGGGGAAGCAGGCTCCCCACTGAGCAGAGAGCCTGATGTGGGGCTCGATCCCAGGACCCTGAGATCATGACCCGAGCCGAAGGCAGACGCTTAACCGACTGAGCCACCCAGGTGCCCCTGCAGCCACATTTCTTAGTTTCTGTTCCTTACCTCTCATTATCTTCTCAACCCCCTGACTCCACCCCTTCCTTCCTGGAAACTGCTCTGATCAGCATCACTAATACTGGTCTCCCCTGACATGGCCCACTCCACCTCCTCCCCACCTCAAGGCCCACACCTGGCCACCTGGCCACCTCTACTTCTTCTGCTCTGTCTAAATCACGGGTCGCCCCAAACCCTGTTCTTTCTCAGTGACCACCTTTGCCATTCCCACGCTTTAGAGCATCTCTGTACCATGGACTTCAAATGAAGTTCTCCATCCCTGACCTCACCCCTGAACTCTGGACCCCTTTCCAGCTAATGACCGGATGTCTCCACGTGGATCTCATGGCCATCAGGCGTGGCCATATGTCTTGGTCTAGCCAGTGAAATGCAAGGGGAAAGGACATCGCTGTCCTCTCTTTTCCCTTTGCCTTGGGGACGGGCCATGTCCCAAATAGAGGCTCCTCCGTCAACGGGGTCCCAAGGAGAGAAATGGCAGGAAGCAGAGCCACAGCTGACATATAATAGACCCGCAGCAGGGGCGAGAATTTGCCCGTATTAAGGCGCTGGAATCTGGGGAGGGGGACGTTACTGTAGCATAATCTAGCCCCTCCTGACCACTGCATGTCCCCTCACGAGCTTATGGACTCTAGTAAGGTAATAGGGGAAGCTGTCCTTTATTTTTTAAGATTTGGTTTATTTGAGAGAGAGAAAGATCACGAGCAGGGGGTGGGAGGGAAGGGCAGAGGGAGAGAGAAGCAGGCTCCCCGCTGGGGAGCTAGGCACCCCTGGGAAGCTGTTCTTTAAATTGTATTCATGTGGTTGCCTGGGTGGCCCAGTCAGTTAAGGGTCTGCCTTTGGCTCAGGTCAGGATCCTAGGATCGAGCCCCGCATCGGGCTCCCTGTTCAGTGGGGAGCCTGCTTCTCCCTCTCCCTGCCTCTCTGCACACTTGTGATCTCTGTCAAATAAATAAAACCTTTAAATTAAAAAAAAAAAAAAAAAGATAAAAAGAACCCCTTGCATAAGAAGTCCCAAGGCCCAGGCACCGGCATGGCCAACTTCTGGTGACAACCCTCTTCCTGGTTCAGAGACCATGCCTTTGGCTTTATCCCCACCTGGTGGAAGGGGCATCAGCTGTCTGGAGCCTCTTTTATGAAGGCTTCCCATTCTGGAAGGCTCCAAATGCTGTCCCACTGGGTCTTAGGTTCCAACAGAGGAATTTTGTGAGCACGCAGACCATGCTAACATACGGCCCTGCTATGTCCCTTAGATAAATTCAGTCTAGACTCTCCCCACTGTCCTCCAGGTCACTCTGCTTGCTCCTGGGCTCAGTCTGGCCACTAGGCCTATGGGACCAAAGGCAGAGGCCAGCCTCGGGGCCCTACCACAGGAGGCACCTCTGGCCTCAGTCATGTATTCTACTGGAGTGGAAGAGACACTCTCCCGCCCATGTCTCCCGTTTAGCTCGTGGGTTTGCTGGGTTTACCTAAGTTAGAGACTCCTGGTGTCACTAGAAATGGTTAGGGCCAAAAGCCAAGGAAGCAAGGCCCTGGGGCTTAAGCAAAAGTTCCACGCCCACTGCAGACCTTCCAAGTGTAGCCCCTAAGCGTTCTCCAAAACCGGGCGTGGACGATTTACCTACATCCTGCACAGGGGCAGGACCTGGTTAATGAATGTGAATGGAATTCTGTGCCACCCTTGGCCACTGCGGACGGCAGATCTTAAGGGTGCAGGCTCTGGGGGCACGCTGGCCTCCTCTGAGGGCCTCGATTTCCTCTCTAGAGGATGGGCACAATAAAAGGCTAGACTGGGGGCCGGGGACGAAAGCAAGGAATGAATGAGCCCAAAAGCCCTTGGAACTACAGTAGCTCGTGAGAGCAGAGCACTACACACACGGAATGAGTTTTAAAATATGGAAGTACGTGTGTGGAGACATGGAGAGTTTATTCAGACGGGTATAAAGGTAAGGAGTGGCAGTGGTCACCTCTGGGGAGAAGGGAGAGCTGAAGGAGACCGACTTCTGCACCCTTCTGTAATGCCTATGATTTCGTATTTCTACCCTAGGAGTATTTTACCTATTATTTTGAAGGCTCCCTTCAGTGGCTCCACGTGGCCTCAGGATAAGTCCAAGTGCCTTACTAGACTCCTCGAGCGGCCCTGGCTGGCCTAGGCCCCAGCTCTCGCCCGCTCTCCCACCCCCAACCCATGGCACTCAGTGTCCCCAGTACATCGATCCGTTTCCGTTTCCAGATCCTTTCCATTTTCAGAGCAGCTGCTCAGCGTGCCCTCTAACCTCCCCACCCCCGCAGCTGAGAATCACTCCTCTCTTGCACATTAACCCTTCCTGCCCTGATCCCTAGCAGCTTTCTGGACACCCACCCACTTCAGCCACACATCCGTGTTCCAGCACTTCCTTATTCCATCCTCCCACAAGCGCAGCCCAGAGGGCACGATGATCTCCCCCATGGCTGGCCCGTGACCTCCTCGGAGAGGACTGATGGAATCCCCTGGCCTAGCGCAGGAGCTGAGGTCCAACACCCAGCTGCTACATTCCAGTTCTCGGGGACTATTATAAGGACGAAACAAGTAACATCTGCAAAGAACCCCCAGCTCAGTTTCTGGCATATGGGAGGCTGAATATAGTCTTAAAAAGCAAGCTGGTGCCAGACAGCAGACAAGGCTCAGATGGCAGGGGTAGCTGTTAGGGACAGAAGCCCAGAACAATGTCTATGACATATTAGGTGCCCCAAAATGGCTTAAGACAGGAATGGCAACTCTCAACATTATGGGAAAGAATCAATCACCTGCTGTTTATTAAAATAGCAGACTCTGGGCCCATCCCCAGGGATCCGAACTCTAAATGTCTGGCCCAGGGTCCAAGCAGCTGAATTTTTAGGAAATAATTCACAGGCAGGGCACCGGGGTGGCTCAGTCGGTTAAGCACCGGTCTTCAGCTTGGGTCATGATCACGGGGTCCCAGGATCGAGTCCTGCATTGGGCTCCCTGCTCATGGAGGACCCTGCTTCTCCCTCTGCCTGCTGCTCTCTGTCCCTGCTCAGGAGCTCTCTCTCTGACAAATAAATAAAATCTTTAAAAAATAATACCAATCCACAGGTCATCTAAGGATGGCACTCTAAGAAACGAAGTGATCTGTTCGTGACTTTTATTAAGCGGCTACGATATGCCAGGTTAAGGTTCACCTTCACTATGGGGATAGAGAAGGAACAAGAAAAGTCTGTGCCCTCGGGGAGTTTACATTCTGGTGGGAGTAGAAAACAGGAGGTATACAAAAAAATGGAGACAGCCAATGACAATGTTGTAAAGAAAGTAAAGCAGGTGGGCAAAGACCTGGGTGGTAGGGAGGGCCTCACTCTGAGGTCATGGTGGAATGACAGCCGGAGCCAGTAAGGACACAACTAGGAGAAAAGCATCCAGATGGATCTTCCTTCCCCACCCCCACCAGCTCCCCTCAATCAGGCCCTGGTCCCACAGTATCTCAAAGGAAACCAAATCCTGGAAAAAGAAGCCCTCTCCTCCCTCACCACCATACCCCCTATTATGGAGGCTTCCAGAGCCGGGATAGACTGGACACAGGAGACTGGGATGGGATCTACACGCCCCCTTCTCTCCCAGCTGGAGTACCCCAGGCTTCCTGAGGCCAGGGGTACAGTCTGACTCCCTGCCTTCTGAGAAACCTAGCCCCTAGCCCATCTCCATCACTCGAGTGTCCCAAGTCCCAGGCCAAGCCAGATCCCTGGGCTGAGCCAGCAGGTGCCGGGTCCCAGGGCCTCCTGGCCTCCCGGGGGCACTGCCTGTAGGGGCGGGGCCTCCGAAGCATCCTCCCTGATTGGAAGTCCAGGTCCTTGGGAATCTGGGTGGGACTGGTCCTCAGGATCTCAGAGAACATGGCATCACCCCAGAGGCCAATCCCCTTCTCAGCAGGCTGGACAGCACATTAGGAAGACGGGAGCCTGGGCCCTCCCAGGAGGGAGAGGGGAGCGCCATGGCCCGGCGAGACTCCCCAGGGCAGGTGGGCAGCCAGGAGCTGGAGGTTCCAGGGTCATTTCTTCCTGGCTCGGTCCGCCGCATCCAGGGCGGCCATGTTGCGAGCAGCTGTGACCAGGTGGACCACACTGATGAGAGACTTGAGCACCGCGACAGGGGCTGTGATCCAGAGCCCCACTCGGAAAAGACCCACAGAGCCAACTGCGGAAGGGAGCACGGGCAATACAGAGAAAACGGGATGCAGGTGAGGGGGAGGAGGACCGGGAAGTCTGCGGGCTCCAGGCCATCATCATCATCATCATCACCCCGGGCAGGCCAGGACCCCCTCCCACCCTCCTGCCCAGCCCCGCGCCTCCTACCTAACGGTCCCTCGGAGAAATGGAACAGGTAGAGGAGGCAATAGAAGAGCTCGTTCCCAGCACACAGGGTAAACAGGGCAGGCTGCACAGAGAGCAAAAGGGCTGCTTAAGGAGTGCTGCCCCTCCCCCAGCTAAGTGACAAGGGGCCAGAGCCTTCTGCGGGTGGAGGAACCATACCTACCAGAAACAGGCGTGCAGGGGTGAGTGAGGGTGAAAGAGAGAGCTCAGGGTATTGCTTCTCTCTTTATAAATCCTTTCAGACACTCTCTGTGGTCCCAGAATAAAGCCCATGTGGCCTAAGGCTTGTTGAGAACTGGTGTGAAAACCAATCTGGCTTCTCCCTCCCTCCCCACCAATCCTCCTTCCCGCCTCAGCTTCCCGGCCTCCCAGCCACGTCTCCTCTGGGTTGGTGCGTCCCCTCCTTGTGCCTGGAGCCTTCTCCTCACCCAAGACCAGGGCTCAGCCCAGGGCTTGGCAGAAGCGGAGGGAATCAGGGCGGGGCAGGAATGCTCACTCTGGACGTGTAGTAGATTCGAAGCACCGGATTTCCAGACAGGTCAATCAGCTTGTGACTTTCACTGCCCCGGACCACAGAACTTGGGGAGAAAGCAGGGGGAACCCATGAGCACTCCTTGCCACTCATGTCCATCGAATCTTCCTATGAGCCCCCATGAGGTTAGGTGCTGGGATTGCCTCTACCGAGCGGAGCAGATGGGGCTCAGCGAAGAATCGAGGTCTTGCCCAAAGCCACACAACCACCTCGCTGGTAATGACCCAGAGGAATCAGGATTTGAATACCACATTCCAAAGCCCCCAGCGCGGCTTATCTATCTGGAAGTCTCCGGACTATCCGATCCCGACTTGACGGGATTGCTTAATGCACCTGTGAACGGGATCGGGCACCCTCCCACACAGCCTCAGCCGTCCCCACTGCAGCGTCCCCTTCAGCCTGCCGCAAACCTGTGCAGGTGAAGCCAGTGGCTGGCCACATCCAGGCTCATGCTGAGCTGGAACAGAAGGGTGGCCCGTGGGTACAGCAGGGCGAGGTTCACCAGCAGACACATGGTGGAGCAGCGGTCCGTGAGCATGTCCAGCATGGCTCCAAACCGGGTCCCTGAAAAATGGGGGGTGTTATGTGGGAGGGGGCCACTGGGGGCCCTGGGTCTGTGACAGGAACCATGACTGGCGTATCACTCTGATGCAGTGTCTAAAGATTGAAAATGTGCACCGTCCCCGGGCTGGGGAGGCAAACAGACTGCTGCTGTCTGTGGGGTGTGAGGTCAAGGGGCAGGGGTCACCGCCACATGAAATGAGGAGCCGTGGAAGCTAGCTCTGCAGCTCACCAACCCCAGAACCAAGGGTCCAGGACTCAAGACAAGCTGACTTAAACTCTTCGGGGATGTCTGGCAGGTGGGTTTGGAGACCAGATTAAAAAAATTAATGGACCCTGCAGAAACCATCTTTCTTCCCTCTCCATTTTCCCTCGAAACATGGCTTCTGGAACCCCTCTTCCTTGTGCCTGGCACAGAGCAGCCCCCCAGGAATCACCTGGTGAACGCATTTTTCCTCATGGAGACCTCCAGCACTGCCATGTCCAGTCTTGCTACCCCACACCCTGTCAGGAAGTTCTCAACAGCAAAGCTTAAATCCCTTCTACTAGGAAAGGAGGCCATTCTGTTCTGCTCTCTACAGAGATGGGAGGGACGAAGCCCTCAGGTTCCCGAGTTCCCGCCCGCCCCGAGGTCCTGAGGAGGCAGGAAAAGGGGACAGAGGGTTGGCTGGGCCTAAAGGCTGGCTGAGAGGAGGTGTCTGTCACCTTGGTTAAGGGCTCGAGCAGCGTGTCCATCGAAAGCGTCCAGAAGTCCGCTGAGCAAGTAGAAGGAGGAGGCCGTGAGAGGGCAGCAGGGCATGAAGTAGAAAGAAACGATGGCGAAGACAATCCGGGCATAACCTTGGGAAGGACGGGGGCATACAGAGTGGGATCAGGGACCCTGGCCCTCGCCCTCCCCTTTCAGCCCGGAGCCGCGGGCAGCACTCACCGATGAGGTTAGGCACAAACAGGAAGATATTTTCGCCTGGCATCGCGGCGGCCCCCTTGCAGCCCGGAGCCCGATCTGGAGGTGGCAACCGAGTCCCAGCTCCGCCGCTCGGCCGCACCCTCTGGCCCCGCGGATCGGCCGCGCCCACAGCACGTAGGCCCCCGCCGTCCCCGCCCGTCCCCGGTGTTAGCGCTCGCAGCCCGCCGGAGCATGGGCCGGCTCCGAGATGCGTCGGGCGCAGGGGCGCGCACAGCCCGCCCTCCCCCGGGGGCAGGCCCTCCCGCCTCCAGCGGCTGCCCCAGTCTTCCCCAGCTGCTCCCGGGTGTGCAAAACAGGAAGAAAAAAAAAGAAGCAGCCTAAAAATGGCTGCGGCCCCTTTAAGACGTGCCCGCTTCCTTTTTCCTCCCTCCGCCCCTTTCAATCGGCGCGTACCAAGTGCAGAGGGAGGAGAGGGGTGGAGAATCCTCGGCGCCGAAGGAAGGGAGTAACCGAGAAGGCGATGTCAGAAGAGAAAGAGGCCTCGACGAATGATTCTCCTGTCCTTTCTCCGGAGAGTATATCCTCCTGGAGACAAGGACAGGGAGAGAACATGCCCCCGGGTCCTGGGTCTACGCGTCCCCGAGATGTAAGGTTATGTAGTACAGCCCACAGGTTTGCCTTTTTTTTTTTTTTTTTTTTTTTCCCCTGCCCCACCCCCTACCTCCGGCCTCATTTGCTCTCGCCGGCTCCAGGCGGCGAGAAAGCGGCTAGAGAGGCTCGAGGGCGGCGGAGGGCGGGGTTGCTTCTTGCGCGCTCCTAGTGGTAGGAGGATTTGGTCCCAGGCACCGCCCTATGTGATCTTCCTGTGTCTCAGACTTCTGGCGTTGGGGTCACCATCCCCGAGGGATCCAAAAGGAGGTGGAACGGAGACCAGAAGAGCGAATGCGACGTGCTAGGAAAATGCCGCCCCCTTCCCCCGGCCCCCGCTTTTGGTTCTAGAATCCCTGATATCCTGGCAACGGGGCTGCACCAGCCCTGGTCCCCCTCTTTCCAGCCTTCCTCCCCGGTTCCTACTCCCCGTCCCCTGAGACCTAATAAGGGGCTCCTTAGCCCTTCCTGTTTCCCTCCTGCCCAAGATTTCAACTCGTCTGTCAGGTCGGGGGCAGCAAGCCTGCTTGCTGCCGTCTTGGGTAGGGCGTTGGGTGGAAGGAAGGAGAGGACCCCTGGGAGAAGTGGAGCTAGAGGCTGGTTTCTCAGCCTCACACTGGTGTCGCCTGTTTCCAGGGAGATGGCATCCACACCTACCAGGAATGAGGAGAGAAAGGGCAGCAGGATGTCCCAAGCGGCAACCCCCTCTGGTGGAAGTCTGGTGAGCATGGGGGTGAGCCGAAGTGGATGGAGAGCTCCGAGGCCAAGGGCACCGACACCTCCAGTCTTGAGACTGTAGCCTCAGCCCTGAGCCCGTAGCCCCTAGCACTTTTGGCCTTGGGGTCCTCAAGACTGCCCCCCACGCCCAGTGCCTTCTCTGCCAAATCTCAAGCATCAGCCCTCCAATACTGGTCTCGGACCTCAGACCCCAAGCTCCCAGCCTGGGAGCCCCCAGACCCGGAAGTCGCCTGTGGGAACTCCCAGGCTGAACCCCTGTGATTTCCCCTTTTGCAGAAGGTTTCATTATCCCGATCTGAGGAATTCCTGACTCGGATCAGCACAGAGCTCACCAACGAGGCCTTGTTTATCGCTGGCTGCCCCACGAACTCTGTGCCCACCAAGGAAAAACAGACCCAAGACCGAGGGACTCAGATATCCAAACATGGTGACCCCCCTACTCCAGGACCACTGTGTCCAGAGACCCCACCATACCCCGAGTTCCAGTCCCTAACCCCTCCCAACCACAGCTGACTTTTCTAGCCATCCGAGCCTGTCTCCCCGATCTCACAGCCAGCCCTTGAACTACGCAGCGCTCCCGCCCTCCAACTCACCCAGTACCCACTCCTCACTGCTGGCCAGGAACACCTCAGCACCTTTCTCCCTAGCCACATCTCTTTCTGGCTGTGGGTGTAACACTTTCTCTGACTCAGGCCTCTACTTCCAGTGTTCTTCAAGACCCGAGGCACCGACACCCGGTGAGTGAAGCTTCAAGGGTTAGGGTTAGGGTTAGGGTTAGTGAGGGTTTGACAATGTCCTAGCAGGGTAGGGGGATTTGAAAACTGTGTAGTCCGAGTCTCTCTTGCTCTGATCCTCGAATTCCGAATTCTCAGCCCTCCCCTTTCCCTCTGCCTTCTCTAGTTCGGACAGAAACCGTACCCGTACTAAGGCACACCTCCTGCCATCCCCTCGTGACAAGGTATATACTGAGTCCACACTGACAAGCCCCTTCCGTGTTCTAAATATTTAGCGTTCACAGGTTATGCCAGGCCCAGTTTTAGGAGCCTGGGACCCAGAAATGAAGGATACGGTCTCTGCCCTTGAAGAGTTCACAGTTCGGTGTGTTGCCAGTCAAGTAGATGGTCAATTACAACATGGTATGGATCCGTGCCTGTGATAGAATTGGAAACATCAAGAAGAGCACTTATCCCAGCCTTGGGATAGGAGGGAAAGGAATGATGGAGCTTCCTGGTGGAGGTGACATCTAAAGAAAGAATCTTCCAGAAAAACAATGGGTTGGTCAGGGTATTCCAAGTGGTAGGGCTTGTATGAATGAGCAAAGGCATGAGGTGAGTTTCAGTAGAGTGAATGGGGGTATGTCAGTGTATGGTCTTAGGGCGGGAGAGAAAGTGGGGTCAGAAGCAGCTGAGTTGCTGGAGTACGGAGGCATGGGAGCCAAGGTCTACTCAGAGACCCTATGCATGCATGCCTTATTAAGATCAGAAGTCCCTGAAGAGCTTTGAGCAAGGGAGATTGTAATCTTAGATCAGTCACTCTGGTGGTCAGTGGGGAGAGTGAGCTGGAAAGGGGAGATGAGAAGTGGAGCCCAGTTAGCAATCATGCCAAGAGACTAAGCTTGTGATGATCGGGCCCTGAATTTTCACAGTAATAATAGAGATGAGAAGAGGGACAGAGACGAGAAATAAAGACCAGGAAAACTGAGTTTCGTCATTGAGTAGAAATGGTAGGGGGAAAAAATTAGAGGAAATCAGATGACCCATCCCCACGTTTCTGACTTCTGTAACTTAAGTCTGATGAAGTCAGGCTTCTGCTCTGAACTCCAACCTCGTTCCCCATTTCAAAGGAAAAGCCAAAGTCCTTCCGTGGCTGCTTACGGGGCCTCTCTCCTCCCCCCAACCCCACTGTGTCTCTGACCTCGTTACCTAGAACTCTTCGCCTTTTCGCCCTCTGTTCTCAGTCACTCCAGCCTCATCAGTCTTCCTGGAGCATGGCAGCTGCGCTCCCACCTTTGGATGGATTGAGTTTGAGAAGCCCCTGGGAAGACCAGGCAGAGAGACCATGTAGATCGTTGGAAATAGGGCTTCACAACTCATCGGGGGATGTCTGGGCTGGTGATAGAAATTGGATTCGGGAGGGAGTCGGCAGTTGAATGCTGTGTGGTCGCTCCTGGGGGTGGGGGTGATGCCGAGAAGAATCTGTGCATGTGAGGAGTTGGTGGAGGAGGAGAGAGGGCGTCATGGGGAAGGCTGAGAAGGAGCTAACAGCAGCTGTTTAGTGAGTGTCTGGTATTTCCTGGGTCCACCAGGTCTTAGCGATGGTCAGCTCGCTGGGGCTGCTGCTTCCGGTCTTCATGAGCAAGACCGGTGGCACAGTGCAGCCGAGAATAAGCCACTGTTCTTAACCTCAGGCAGCTGACCTTCCAGGGCCTCTGGGACATTTGAACTCTCCCAGCTGGGCTTTGGTGTCAGAAGCAACTTGAAGTAGCAGGAAAACCCTGGGCCTTAACAGCTAACCTGCTATCAATCTGATAGCCTCTGTGCAACCTGATAGTTAGCCTTTCTCCCCACTTGTCAAATGGGGGCCTTGGACAAGATGCTCTGTGAGGGCCCCAGTTTCCTGCTCCTTCCCAAATGCACTTGATTGAGAATTTCATCCTGAGCTAATACCCTCTCATCCCCGGGGCAGCACCCCATGGTCCCAAAAGAGTTTTCCTTCCTCATCCTCAAGAACATGGAAGCCTACAGACCTTTGAACTGCCCCTTGAATGATAGGTCATTGTACGTGGGCAGAATGTCAAGTCGGGGAATGGGTGAGTGGTTGGAGGGCGTAGGTCAATGGATAGATGGATGGACAAATTCACCGAACGTTTATCAGTCACTTCGTATGTGTTGGCACTGCTGTAGGGGCTGGAGGATAGAAGTGAACCAGTGGGTCACTTGCTTCTGAGAAGTTTAAATGGGGGCTGAGTGGTTGGGTGGAAGAGGGCTGAGTGGGTGGACGGGTGAATGAGGGGAGACAGATGGGCAGACACATGGGTGAGTAGAATGTGTGCAGGGGTAGAATGATGGGTAGATATGTGGGTGGAAACACCTGGATGGATGGATGGTGAATGCGTGAGTGGGGAAAATGGGGAATGGTGGATGGAGAGAGAGATGAGTGGGGGATAGGGGTTGGATGGAGAGATGAAGGACAGAAGGAGAAGACAAGAGTGTTGGGGCCAAAGAATCAGAAGGTTCTTTCTCTTCTCTAGGGAGCTCTGCTTAGCAGCTTGACATCTGGAGGATGACCCCAGTAGTCTTTGGTGCTGCTTGTGGCCTCTCATGTTCTCCCCCATTGTGTCCTTCTAGAACATGCATCAGAGCTCCTCGTTCACAAGTCACTAACGCTTCAGTTTGCTGGGGTCTCCTGGTCATGAGCAGCAGCACACTCAAAGCCTCCCAGGTGTTCTGGAACCATCTCACACCTTTCTACCCTCAGCTGGCAAGGACATCACCAGAAATCAAAGGCTTTAATAAAAAGACAGAGAGAGGTCCTTCCCTCCTCCCAACCCAGGCCGTGCTCTGGAGTGGCTTCTCTGGGGGTGGAGATGTGAGAGGGTGGCCCTTTTTCCTCCTCCTTTTTCTTCTCTCTCTCTCTTTTTTTTTCTTGCCAGATGTGTGGGCATATGGGTGAAATGGCATAGTCCATGTTACTGGAATAGCTTTAATTCGGGCAGTTAACGACCTGTTTTCTGTCAGCCTTTTGGTGGAGATGAGCTCATGGATCTGAACTCAGCCTCCTAGCCACACTCCAGCCCCTTCCTGTCTAGCCTTGGGCATCTGAGAGGGTCCCCCCGGCTTCTGAGGAGCCACCTCTGCCATCGTCAGTGCTGAGGCCTCTCCTCCAGGCTCTGGGGCCTCATGCCTGGGGACACGTGTCACAGCCATTGCTAGCCAGAAGGGAATCCAGCCGCCTTGGTAGAATCTGCATTTAAGTCTGAATCTGGCCGCTTATTCGAGACTCCTGAGGAAGTCCATTCTCATCTCTGAGCCTCAGTTTTCTTATCTGAGAAATGGGAATGATTATCCCTGTCTCGAGGGCTTCTCCTAGAAGTTAAAAACAACGAGTACAAAGTGCTTAGCGCCAGGCCTGGCACAGAATAAAGGCCCAGAAATGCAGGCCATTTATTATAAGGCTCAGTTGGCATCGCGTTCTAAAATTCAGCCTCCTCGGAGGATTTCAGTGTCCTTTGGAGTGTCCTAAAAATGTTGAATTATACTTAAATATGAGATTTGAGTGACATGAAATTCAATTAATTTGGAGACTCTTTAGACAAATGGGCCAAAATTCCTTATAATGTTCAAAAGTAGATACGCTGGAAAAGGACCCCCACAGGGTACAAAACAAGCTCATTCTTTATGAAATGCTACAAATCTGACCCTTACTTAGTAGACACATAACAGCGGATATACTTATAGGTCCAAAAAAATTGGGGTTAAAAAGAATGGCACACTTGGATGGATACAAACATTCTCGAAAGGAGAGTGCATTTTAGGTGAACTGGTCATGAAATGGAGGGCTGTTTGTGTCCTGCCAAGTGGGGAGGTGGCTACAGTTGTCTCCTGGCTAAAAGAGCCTAGAAGCGTCAAGCAAGGGGCGGGGGATAGACAGAGACAGCTGAGGCCCAGAGGGGGCTCTTGACATCATCTGGTCCCATCTTGGAACTCCATCTTTTTCCCAAATCGTTCGCCTTTCCCCAGGCATCTCTCCAGGCCACTCTGTGACCCACCTTCCCACACCCCACCAGCCTAGTTACAAATGGTGGTTTTCTGTTTATTGCTCAAAACCAAAAATCCAGAAGCGAAGGTGGGGAGACTGTGGGTTGGGAGATGACGCGAAGTGGGTAGGGGGGCCGCGTCCCTGCTTTCCCCCTTCATCCCTCCTCTTCTGACCCTCCAGAGCCCAGGGGTGAGGCCCGGGGCCAGAGCATCTGGGAAAAGCCTTCAAGGCCAAAAGGAACAACAGAGTTCTCAGGCAGTCCTTGGGGGTACCCTGGGCCGGAGGGGCCCCAGGAGTTGCAGGGGGGCTGAGTTCCCCTCCCAGGGTCCAAAAGCCAGTAGGGCAGGAGGGGAGGGGCAGGCCCCCTGTTTGGCAACCGAGAAGAGGAGGCTTGGGCAGCAGGATGCTGGTTTATTTACGGTAGGGTCCGCAGGGCCATCAAAGCCCCCTTGTGGGACCGGGAAACTGTTTACACAGCAGGAAGGAAAGGAGCCAGAGACATGGTCCTGTACTCCTCCCTGCCCAGAATGGGAAGGGGAGGGGCATCCTGGGTCCTGCAGCCTTAGTCTTGGGCTTCAGATGGAAACTTCATACTCCCGTGTATCCTGGAGAGAGAGAGGGGATCAGTTGCTAGAGCAGGATGGGGATGGAGGAGGGAACAAAATGGGAGGAGGCATCCACCAGGGAGGGGAAAGACCCTGAGTTTTTAAAATAACATTGGCCATGAGGTTTGGGTGCCATGGGGGGAGCAGGGAACAGGGCTGTATCTGGCCCCGGGGATACCTGGTTCATCTTACAGTATCTTAAAAATCACACACAAATTTGAGTTTCTGGGTTGTCTTGAGCAACCGGAAGACCTGGCAATTGGGCCTAAGTTTCCACTGCAGACCAGATGGGGCACAAGTTGGCCACTTAGCCCCAGTCCCCACCATGCCGCCACTCCCCACCGTGCATGCCTGACTCGCTGTGTTCACTGGTGTGGCCTTTGTAGGCAGCTGAGTTTGAAATCCCCAAGACGGGTAGTACAGAGACTTTGAGAGAAAGTTCTGGAGCCCTAGGGGAGCTGAGAGATGGGGCTCTCCAGGGGAGAAGGGGAAGGGCTCTCAGGGGAAGGGCTCACCCCGGCTTCATACAGTGGGTTGCTGAAGTCTGACTCCACAGTGATGGGGCTGTAGGAATGGGAGCCCGAGAAGCCGAAGAGGGATTTTCCCTGTAGTCTGCGAGACGGAGGAGATAGAGGGGCTTATCCAGAGGTGAGCCCCCAACCCCCCCCTCACCCTGTCTTCTGTGCCAGGCAGGCAGGACGGCTGCCCTGGCTAGCAGCTCCCCGAGCAGGGTCCTTACTTGGTGTAGTATATGTAAACGCCACTGCCGAGGACAATGACCAGGCCTAGGGGCAGCAGGATGGCCAAGGCGAGGTTCCCACCCTCCAGCTGCCTCGACGGGTCTGTGGTCTGGGTCACTAGGGAGAGGAGAGGCCAGTGAGCTGGGGCTGGGCCCAGCCCACTGGCCTCTCCCAGCCTCTTGCCCTGGGCCTCGAACCCTGGGCTTCACCCCTCTGGGGCCTGGCCTCCTGCCCCCGGCCTCTGCCTTGCCCTCCCGACTCAGCCAGGCCTGGGTCTCCACCTGTGCCCTCACTGACCTTCCAGTTTTCGGTTGTCCAGGAGCTCCTCATAGGCCACTGCAGGGAGAGGAGGGGGAGGGGACGGGGTCTGAGCCAGGGAGGGAAGGAGGCTGGGTAGAGGCCGGGAGCCCAGTGGGGCTGGGCTGCACAGCCTGGTTCTCTCTGCCCTCTGCTCAACCTAAACTTTATCCTTCCCTTGGTGGGGACGGGGGAAGACTGCTCAAGGCAGGGCCTTCTTCCTCTTTCTCCAGACCCCTAAAATTTCAGGTTTCTTGGGTGGTCCAAACTAATCAGTCTGTAGAATTTATCAAAAATGGGGGAAACTTGAGACCTAGCCAGAGGGCAAGGAGACTTCCAAGCCAAGGCCCCCTCTGCTACATCCCGTAGGACAGTTCCATGACCTTGAGGTTCCCCAAGACCACTGGATGTTCCTGTGAGGATCAGAGCCCACAGGAGGTGAATGGGGAGCTCAGTCAGTCGTTCTCAAATTTGCTGCTCCCTGACTTTCCCAGTCCCGTCGCTCCCCAGACCCTGCTGTGCCCCCTCCTGCCGGGTCTGCCCAGGCACCTTTGCAGAGTGGGGGCTGGCTGGTCCACTGGGAGGGGTGGCCGGGCACACAGGTGATGGTGACCTCGCCGATGAGCTCAAAGCCCTCGTAGCAAAAGAAGCGCAGAGACTCGCCCGCCTGGTAGTGATGCTTGTACAGCGTCTGATAGCCGTTCTCCGGCACCCCTGGGTTCAGGCACGGCTCATACTTCACTGAGGGGCATAACGTCTGTCAGCTGCTGGCCCCCTGCTGAGCAGGCCACCCAGCCACCCTTCCCAGGGTGTCCCCAGACTCACAGGCACACTTGGGGACCCTGTCACTCCACTTGGGTGTGCCCGTGTCCCGGCTGTAGCAAGTGAGTACTGCCGCCCCCTCCAGGCTGTACCCTGGCAGACAGCGGTACTGGACGTGGGAGCCCACTGGGAAGCCGGCGTCGGAGGTGGTACGGTGCCCATTGGTGATCTCACCAGGGTCGGCACAAGTCATGACTGTTGGCGGGAGAGCAAGTTCAGCGGGAGCCTTAAAAGCCCTCCCGGAAGCTGAGGATGGGGAGACGCCTGAGCCGTGGGCCATCTTCCCGCTAAGCACTTCCCCATCTCCCACCATTTCCTCCAGATGGAGAGATCAGAGGTTGGAAAATGTAAAATTCGGTGCATTTTAGATTTCAGGCTTCTTCCAGAAAAGAGCGGTGGGGACAAGCCAGGCCCCCATCTGAGAATGAAATGTGAAGTCTTCTGCCCCTGTTACCAGAGCCTAGGAGCTATACCCTGACGCCACCAGCCCCACACGGTGGGACAGCAGCCCAGCCCTCCTGCTCCCCTCCTTCCTCATTCCTGGCATCCCCAGTGCCCTCCGCTCATTTGCATAGCCTGTCCTTTACAACCTTGCTGTGCAAGTAACAATCAGAGCCATTTCTTGTATCCGGACCTCTGCTAAGTGCTTTACAAGCACAGCATCTATACCCTGACGATCCTGAGGTCAGCGTGATTCATCTCGCAGGGCTCAGGGCAGGGAAATAACTGGTCCATGGTCCCAGAGCACTGGGCTGACATTCAGAGACTTGGCTCTCAGCTCAGCTTCAGGCTCAGTGTGCTGCCTTGGCCACAGAGCCTGTCCCCTCTGGGTCCTGGCTGGGTTTCAGACTGGACATCCTGTCAGTCCTTCTAGAGATGGGGAGCTGTCTCAACCAGAAAGTTTTCCTTGTGTCCAGTCCAAATCTGCCTTCCTGAACTTAACTTCATTGGTCCCACCATTGTCCCCCAGGGCCAGGTGGAAGACCAACAGTCCTATATCCTGGCAGCAGGTTTCCCAAAATTTGGAGAAAATGACAAGATGCCACCCCTTTCTGCTATTCTAAGAGATAGACGCTCCCAGCTTCTTCAAATATCACCTCCTCAGTGAAATCTCCCCTGCCTGAAACAATGAACCCCCTCGCCCCCCTTCCCACAGTGCTTCTTCCTTATTTATAGCACCTGCTAAACTGTTCGCACACACAGGTACTGTATGAAAATTCGGATGTTAAGTCCTTTGCCCGGAAACACCCTGCAGTTACGGCTTTGGAATACCCTGAGCTGTTTAAGGGTCCCCCTTCTGAACTGTGAGCTCCGCCAGGATCAGGAGGGACCCCAGCCCCACTGCATAACCCCAACCCAGCATGCGGCTTCAATGACTGCGGTAAAATAAACCAAGTTCTCTGACCAGCCTAGGCCCCAGCCAACTGACTCCCTGCAACGTCAAGGGTGGGAGATTGAGACTGGAGAAGAGTATAGAAGGGGAAGAGCGGAGCGGAGAGTCGACGGGGCGGGGCGGGGGAGCGGGACACTGACGCGGTGGAGGCGGGGCCAGGAGGCGATGGGGGCGGGGCCAGGAGAAAGTGAGGCGCGACCCAGAGGAAATGGGGTCAGAGCTCAGAACAGTGCACGAGAGGGGCACAGCCCGGAGGTGAGAGTGGGGTCCGGAGGGGGCAGTTTCGGGACACCGAGGATCAGAGGGGTGGAACCCAAAGGGTTAAAGGGACGGGGCCTGAGTAAGATCCGGGCAGAATCCAGAGGGAAGGGAGGAGAAACTCGGCCGGGCCGGGAGTGGGGGCAAAAAGGAACTTTAGCCAGACGCAGGGGGGTTGCGGAGTGGCGAAACCCCGACGGGCAGGGGCGGGGCCCGAGCTCACTCTTTTGGCAGGCGGGCGGCGCTGCGCTCCAGGACAGGTCCCATTGGCAGGTGAGAATGTCGGAGCCGAGCAGCTCATAGCCAGGCTCACACTGGTAGGTAAGCACCGTGCCCCGGATCAGGTCCCCGTGGGAAGCCGTCCTCCAGCCCCACTCTGGAGGTGGTAGCTCCGGGCACGTGTCGTTCCTCGGGACCTCTGCCGGGGAGAGACAGCGAGTTTGGAAGCTGTCCTGCGACTGACTCGGGGCGCCCTTCCAGACTCGGGGGCCTTGCTCCTCCCGGGATCTCTGGCTTGCTGAGCCCCTGCGCATTTCAGGACCCTAGACCTCGGTACCTTTGAAATGCAACACGAAACCCTGCCCCAGGCCCGGGTTTGGGGGCCCTGGCGGTGCCTGGAACTGTAGCGTAAGGTCGGGCCCAGAGGAGAGGAGGCGGCGGCGCGGTTGAGGTCCCCGCAGCTGGGCCAGGACTCGGGCGCTGGGACCGTCCCCATCGAAGAGTGTCAGCATGTCCCCTTCACGCACATTCAGGCTGCAGAGATTAGAACCAGATGTGCGGGGTGGGTTATGATTCGCCCCTCCTATGCGGTTCTGCCCAGTCAATAACTCAGTTCATAAGGAACCCCACCTACTCTCCAGCCCTGTCCGCATTTCCCCATCCCAAGTCTGGCCGCCCTTTAGGCAATTATGGGCTTCTCTATGCTAGCCCCTCCAGGTTCCACTTGTTCTGTGGCTCTTTGAGTTCCTGTTTCCTGATTCCCAGCCCAGTTCCTCAGAAACTCCCCGCACTCTCTGGTCCCTCCTCCCTCCCCGGGGATGCACAGTCTCTCTCTCAAGTCCAGCTCCGACCAGTCACAGGCCATGTTCTTTTACCACCGGCCCAACTCCAGGAGCCGCTGGGACTATCCGCCTTGGGGCCATGTCCACTCCTTGTTCCGACCGGTCCCATGGCCATCTCATCCCAAATCAGCTCACTGGCTTCTCCCCACACCCACTGCCACCTCATGTGCTGGTGACCAGGCCACAGTTTGGGCCTGGGTTCCTGGAAACCGCTCAAGGGGCAGCCTCGAAACAGCCAAAGAGCGAAAGACACAGGGCCAGAGCCCCCTTTTCACTACAGCCCCTACAGAAGCCCCTGAGTGACCCATGTCCTTGTCCAGAGTCGCCTGGACAAATCAAAAGCGATTTGTTCCTAGGTCTCCCTGACACCCCACAACCCTGTCCTGAACCCTTAGTCACCTTTTCATCTTGGGTAGCCAGCCAGGCTCACGGCGCAGGCTACAGTGTTGTCATACCACACTTCACGGAGCCCACACCCATCACGCCCCCGGCAGCACCCTAACGTACATTTCAACTTGGAGCAAGATGCGCTTCTCTTCCTGGACGTGCAGGCCCCACACGCAGTCCTGGCCGGGGCTGTAGCTCTGGGGCCAGTCGGGAGAGAGGACCACACCAGCCGCCTCTGACAGCTCCCCTCCGCACATGGCTGGGGGAGAAGGGGGTGCAGATTCCGAACTTCCAGTCTTCATTTCACCGAGGGTCTACCTACTCCCAGCTGTGGGCACCATACTGCCTCACAGGCTCCCTCTTAATTACCTGTGCCCAATCCCCGCCTTGCTCTCACTTAGCCCCGCCCACCTAACCCCGCCCACTCTCCAGCCTATGCATTACCCCACCCATCCCAAGACTTAGCTCCAGCTAGAGCTCTTAAGGACATTTGGGTCGCGAACCCTAAATTCTGTAACAAACCCACCAATTATTCAGCTGAGAAAAACGATCTCTGAAGAGGACAAGGATTTACCCCAGGTCTGGGTTTACTGGGTTTGGATATGCAAGTTTCCTTCCTGAATGGCCTTCTAAGATCTCCAGCTGGGGGGTGGTGGTGGCTGGAGACGGGGGAGGGCTAGTCTGCAGACAGAGGGAGCTCCTAGGGATGTGGGGGCTCACCCTTGCAGGCTGGCTCTGTGTCATTCCAGTGGGGTTCTGTGGGATCCACACATTCGATGGCATTTGGGGGGCCAGGGGGCTCCAGGGCATATCCTGGGAGGCACGAGAAGGTGGCCAGTGCTCCTGGGCGGTACTCTGGGTCTGTGGTGGTGACATTGCCGTGTGCCAGGAAGGGAGCGAAGCAGCGATCTTCTTCAAAGGCTAGAGAGGGGTCAGTCACAGAAAGTAAGCATGAGGACAGGCCTCAGGGGATCTCAGACTGGGGAGCCTTGGGCTGAGTTCAAGTGTCGTTTGGCTGCTCAGTGGGTTGTTTAAAATGGAATGCCTTTGGGCTTAGCTTTCACTCTCTAGTCTCCCCCAAATCCTAACCCTTCTCATTCACACATTTATGTTACCTTCCTGGCCGCTGAGGGGAAACCCCTAAGCTAGCCAAATCCCAGCCCCCATTCTACAGATGAGGAAACTGAGGTCCACAGACCAAAAAACCGCTTGCCCAATGTTACACAGAATCAGGTCTCAAACCCAGATTGCTTGAATCCTAGCCAGAGTCACTTGGTTTTGGAAACTGCAGATGAGGGAGGGGAAAGGGTGCCTTTGGAGAACCAGCTCACACAGGTGTGTTCTCTCCTCAAAAATAAGAGTTAGAGGGGCGCCTGAGTGGCTCAGTCGGTTAAGGGTCCAACTCTTGGTTTCAGCTCATGGACTCTTAGTTTTGGCTCGGGTCATGACCTTGGGGTCGTGAGACCCAGTGGAGGCCGCACTGGGCTCTGCACTCATCGGAGAGTCTGCTTGTGGATTCTCACTCTCCCTCTCTGAGTGCCACCCCCCACTCCCGCTCATGCTCTCTGTGTGTGTCTCTCTCTCCCTAAAGTAAATAAATAAATCTTAGAGGGACAGAGAGAGTGCAGGGGTGGGGAGGGGCAGAGAGAGGTGGGGAGAGAGAATCTCATGTAGACTCCCCGCTGAGAGCTGAGCCCGACTTGGGGTTTGATCTTACAACCCTGAGATCATGACCTGAGCTGAAACCAAGAGTTGTCCGATTAAACGACTGAGCCACCCAGGCAGTCCATAAAGAAATCTTAAAAAAAAAAAAAAAAAAAAAGATTCTCCCCACCCTTGATTACCCATGTTGTGGCTAGAATCCCAAAGCACAACAAATGCAGAAGCTACTCAATTTTGACTTTGGACTAACTCAGCAAAAAAGAACATTTGGAGAGCATTTTCACTTTTGCCCACGTGATCATAGCTCAGCTGCAGAACGATCCGTGGGGAGGAGTGTGAAGCTCATAGAGCAGCAGTGGCCCACCACCAGGGAGGCAGACCTCAGACCTCGGAATTCTTTGCACATTTGCAAGTCGAACAGGCAGTTTATTTTTCAGATCTGCTGTTCTAGTTCACTGTTACTTACAACCTGATGAGGTCTCAAGTCCAAATCCTATGCATCCACCAGGGCCCAGTGCCTGATAAATCAATTGCTCCTTTGATTCACACCAGAAACCAGCCCCTCCTGTCTCTGAGCATTTCACTTTCTTTATCTCTCTCCTGCTACTGCTTGCACAGATCCTCTACTCCAGTCATGCTGAAATTCCCTCTTTCCCAAACATAGCAGGCCTTTCTCTACCTCTTTACTGTTGCTCACACCATTCCTTTCACCTGAGGTGCTCACCTCTAATCTCCCTCTTTTAAAATGCTCTCTATCCTAGGAGCACCTGGGTAGCTCAGGTGGTTAAGGGTCTGGCTCTTGGTCTCCACTCAGGTCATGGTCTCAGGGTTGTGAGACTGAGCCCCACGTCAGGCTCTACACTGAGCGTGAAGTTCTGCTTGGGATTCTCTCTCCCTCTGCCCCTCCCCACTCCTCTCTCTCTTACTCTCTAAAAAATAAATAAAATAAAATAAAATAAAATAAATTCTCTGTATCCAGTAAGGCCCAGCTCAAATGCCTCTTCTCCCATGATCACTGACCTCCTTGTTTCTACCTGTCCAGCATCTAGACCCCCGTCTTCTGTTCAAGGCACTGCTACTTTCATTTTGGGACACAAGCCTCCCCCATTTCCAGTCTAGGAGGTCCAGTTGGGGCCAACTATGGATGGTCATGTGATACAGGTTTGCCAATCATAACACCACCCGCCCTTCCCTTCCGTGATTGGCTAATGACCTAAGCCAGAGAAATGAGAGCCCTCCCTGGCATTTTTGCTGAAGCTCTTAGGAAAGCGGTACCCTTTCTCTTTCTGATGGACTTGCTATGTTGGTGGTATGTCAGTTTGAACTACTAGGGGCACCACAGACTGAGAGCCTGACTGACGGTGAAGCCAACATGGAGGAAAGCACTGAGAGGTGAAGGTGCCCGGTCTCTTGGCTGTGTACCTGGATCCGGCCATCCATGAAACTTAAATGGGAAGAGCCACCCCAGGAATTGGAAGAGGTCCACCCCAGGAATTGGAGGGGGTCCTTGTAGTTTGGGGGTGGAGAGGAAGTTAGTTTCCAGAGATCCAAACAGAGGTGAGCAGGGACAGGGTATGTGCTTGTGACCATACCCTGCCATCAGCAAGATGGCAAAGTACAGGAGTTGGGATCCCTGGGCCAGGGGGCGGGGGGCACTTACCTTCAAATCTGAGGCTTAGCAGCAGGGGGTTGGCGGGTGTCTCTGAAAGCAGCTCCACATAAAGGGACTGGGCGTCACTGATGAGACCCCGCTCAGGGACGTCATCCATGTCCGAGTCATAGATGACTGGGGAGAGGGGGCTGCCCCCTGAGCGCACCATCAGCCTGGGATGGACAGAAGTTTCCCCTCAGAAGCTGGCTCATCTCTTGCCAGCTCTCCTAACTCGTTTTCTCAGCTGTTATTTTCAAGCATCAGCTACGTCCCATGTATGCTAAGTCTTCGCACATTTTGTCTCATTACTTTTCACAAGAGCCCTTGAGTCAGCATGATTTATCATCCCTGATTTTATAGATGAGGAAATGGAGGCCCAGAGTCACGTGCCCCACATCACATAGCAACTAGTGGCAGAGCTGCGGTAGTGGTTCGTCAGGCGAGAGGGGGTACCAGTGATGATGGCGAGGACAGACACATTTCCAGGGCTCACTCCCTTCCAAGCACTTCCCGTAACTCAACATCTTTATCCCCACAGAAACCTTCTGAGGAGGTCCTGTGATCTCCATTCTACTGAAGAGGAAACTGAGGCACAGACAGGGCCAGCAACTCGTCTGTGTTTGCACAACTATACCACCTAAGAAAGGGGAAGGACTGATCTGTGTTTGACACACATTTTAACCAGGATCCACCCCAGGTCTGTCTGACTCCCCACTGCAGCCTTCCTATTCCCTCAGGTGGGGACCTCTGAGCCAAGACCCAGACCCTCACCGGTCATTGTCCTCATCCAGTGAGACCCTCTCGAAGTGCAGGTGAAGCCGGCGTCCCTCAGCTGCTTCGATGACCCACCGGCAGGTGAGGTTGGGCCCTGCTGCTCCTCCAGGCTCAGGGGACACAATGCGACCCAGTGTAGCATTGTGGATAGTGCCACCACAGGATGCTGGGGGTAGAGGGGGGACATGGGAAGGTGATGTCCTCCTGTCTTCAGAGCTGTTACATCCACACCTTCGGCTGGGACCCAGCCTGAGTGCTTTCTGCCCTACAGGCTCACCCCAGAGGATGGGACCTTCTCCAAGGCCACCATCCAGGTAGGGAACCAGCCCCCCCAGCATGGACCCTCCCTAGGACAGAAAGCCTGCTGATATGAACACTCCCCAGGTATGGACATCCTGGCATGGGGATTATGAGGGATCCCCAAAATGGAAGCTCTCAAATGGAAAATCTTCAAGATGGGATCCCTAGGATAAAGATTCTTCACGATAGGGAACCTCTAGCTATGGACCTCCAGAATGGCGACTCCCCATATGGAAACCCTTTAGGCAGGACATCCCCAGATGGAGACCACCCCCCACCGCTGCCAAGGATGGCAGTTCTCCAAGGGTCGACACCTTCTGTGTGAAGAGCTCCAGATGGAGACACCAGGATAGGGACTCTTCCAGGCAGAAACCCCTTCAAGATGGGTGTTGGCCAAAGATAGAGACCCCCAAGATAGTACCCACCCAATGGGGCTCCCAGGACAGAACCCCACCTAGCGTGCAGGAGACTCACCCACGCAGCTGGGGGGTTCGCCACTCCAGGCTGGTCGGGTGCCGTTGAGGCAGATAAGGGTCTCCTCGCCCTGCAGCTGGTAGCCTGAATCACAGTGGAAGGTGGCAGTACCCCCAGGGTGCAGGTCTGTCACGCTCACGTCCCCGTGGGCCGGCCGGGGAGGGAAGCCACAGCTCAGGAGGTAGGCTGGATCAGGCAGAGCCAGGAGAAGGAAGACTGGTTTTCCCATGCCAACCTCTTTCACCAATCCCCTTGCACATGCTTCCTTCTTCTCAGGTCCCCTGGTGGCAGAGAGGGCTCCCTACTGGAGCTCTCACACGGCCACTTGGTCTCACAAAGAGGTCATCTCAATATCCCTTCTGTCCCCTAGTCTTTGTAATCAATCTACCCACTTCGGCCTCCATTTTATAGATGAAGTATCTGAGACTCAAAAAAATTCTGCCTCTCACACTCACTTGCTGGGGCAACCTCGGGCAAGTCAGTTGGCCACTGCGAACCCAGCCAGCTCTAAAAATAACAAATAGTGTCTGCAGAACTTGTTCAGCTTCTAAAATGAGCTCATTCAGTGCTTCTGTGGTAGCCACAGGAAGGCTGTGATCCATTTTCCAGATGTAGCAATGGGTTGTTAAGTGACTCCTAGTGATTTCTCCCCGCTGAGATGCGTGGTGGGAGCAGAGCCTCAGCTTTCCTCCAGAGGAGCCCGCATGAAACTCCTTTGGGAAGTTTGGCTGTCTTGTCATTGGAGACCTTAGTAATCAGTGCCCCCTCCATGAATCCCCCAGGGAAGGTGAAGGGCTAGGAAAGGCTTTGCTTTCCTTAAAGAACTGGTTTCTCTTCTCCTCTCTTGCAGTGAGAACTGAGTGATCTCTCCTTTTGTGCTGCTAAGAAGCTCAGAACCAGATCAAGGCTTGTTCCGAGCAACAGTGGCTTGTCCATCCACATTCTATTTTTGTCATCTTTAATAAGTACTTCCTGGTACCCATTTTCTTCTTATTTTATTTAATTTTGCTGCATTCTTTTTTGAAAGCCTCCTGAAATTCTTGTGGAATCACAGGAGATAAAACAAAGAAATAGAAAGTGACTTGGAGCCGGGGTGGGGGGTTGGGTGCTGGCCGGCTTAGTCGGAAGAGCGTGGGACTCTTGATCTTGGGGTCATGCGTTTGAGCTCCATGTTACTCATGGAGTAAAGATTACTTAAATATCTAAACTTAAAAAGGAAGGAAAGAGGAAGGAAGGAAGGGAGGGAGGGAAGAAGGGAGGAAGGAAGTGACTTGGCAGTACACAGTGGACTCTAAATTTGGTTCTGACATAGTTCTATGTGTCTGTTTCAGACCAGGCAGAGTTCATCAAGAAGGGCTTCCTGGAGGAGATGTACCAAAGCTGGGTCTCTGTAGGAGGGGCAGGCTCTGGGTAGCCATGCTTGGGAGATACCGGCTCTCCTGGGCCTTTGCTTTTGCTAACTGTGCAGCCCTGAGTGATTAAGTCAGAGACCTGGTCTCCCTACTTCAAAATTCAGTAAGCATTTCCTTGGCTGGGTGCTAGTGCAGAGAGATGAAAAGGACCCAGGTCTTGTCCTTTTGGAGTCCGCAGTCTACTGAGATAGACCCCAGAAGTTTCTCGAACACAGTGGTTTAAATAAATATTAGCCTCTTGATGGCTCTCCACGACCGAAAGAATCAAGCTCAAATGCTTTGGATTGACATTCCAGCCCCTTCCATCACTGCACCCAGCCCAACACCTCCAGCTTCAGTTCTTAAACCCACAACCCATAGAGCCTACACAAGGTAGCTTTGTGACTTCATATTTTTTCGCATCATTTCCCCTACCTGCGAGGTCCTTTTCCCGGTCTTTCTTATCTTTCAAGGAGTAACATAAGTACCACCTCTTCCAGGAAGTCTTCCTGGCCCCTCCCCTCTCCCACAGAGTTAGTTTCTTTCTTGCCTCCACACCTGTGCACGCGTACTTTTATCATCACGTGAACTGCTGTCTATTGCCATGGTGAGACTGAACCGGCCTCACTTGTTTTGTCTCCTAAAAACCTCGCCAAGCCGATCCACTGATGCGGCCCAGAGTCCGAACAAACTGGACTGGGAGATGGGCACACCTGACTTCCAGTTCTAGCTCCATGACTTATTCGCTGTATGACCTTGGGCAGGTGATGCCCCCTCAGGGGCCTGTCACCTGTCAATAGCAGTAGTAAGTCCTGCCATTGGCCAACTAGCCCTCCAGTTAAAGGAAAGAAACACGCAAAGCACCTCACACAGAGAAAGTGCTCAGAAAATCTGAAGCCCTTGTCCCTCAGGCTCGATGAATGAATGACTGGGAGTTGGGGCTGCGGATCTGTCTTCTGACTCTGCAGCACACCTGTGGGTGGCTGGGCCATCCCTACAGCCCTTCTTCCTCTCGGAGGTGGAGTGGCCAACGGCCACCCTTGGGGGTGCCCTGAGAAGCACACAAAACAACCATTGGCGCCAGGGTTGTATAAATGGGGATGTTTGCTGGGCTTGGGGCGAGCAGTGATGGAACCTTTGGCCTTTCAGAGAAGCTAACGAGGCCACTCTGGACCAGAGGCCCCAGCTAGTGGAGATTGGGGAGGGCTTAAACAGGGCCTCGGTCCCAGAGGGGCGCAGAGAAGCCGCAAAGCAGGAAAGACCGAGGCAGGTAATGAAGGCCAATTTATGCAACAGCCCTGCTTCCCCAGATGTTCCACTTTGTCTGAAGAGTCCTATTTTCAGGGCCCTAGGGAAGTGACTGCTTAAGGGAGCCGGCGGGGAGCCATTTCGTAATGTTGGAAGGGCAGTCCCCCCAACCCCCACCCTAGGCCCTCGGGCATGACCTTGCTCCCTGCCAACCCGACCACCCACCAATTACGTGGCTCCCGTCTCACTGGTCCCTCTGCCTTTCGCATAAGAGTCCCTGGGGCCCAAGCAGAGGCCTCAGGAGAAACTGGAAAGGGTGTGAGGCAGGGATCCATGTTGTGTGTGTCCTGGATAAGGCCCACAAGGGGCAGGCAAGGCCATGAGGTGATGTGAAAGAGAAGACATTGGCCCCAAACCCAGTTCCCTCTCTGTTTCTGAGGAGCATAGGAAGGGACTTTGGAGATGGCAGCAGTGTCTGGAATGGGACAGCAGGCTGCCACACACACACACGTGCTAGAGCATATGCTCGCTCTGTGGGAAGGTTCCTGCACACACAAGTGAGTACGGGTGTGCACCTGTGTGTAGGTTGTCTGTGGGGGGGTGCTCCTGAGTGCAGTTGTGCACGGATACCATCCCTTCCTACACCCCCAAAGTCAGCAGGATCTTTCCAAGTCACAAATCTGAGGTTGTCACTACCTTGCTTCAAACATTTCAAAACGTCTCCATGTCCCCTGCAGGTAAGTAGTCTGTACCCCTTACTGAATTTCATGAGGCCCTTCCTGATCTGAATCCAACCTCCTAGTCTGGTTTCTTTTTTCTTTTTTCTTTTTCTTTCTTTTTTTTTTTTTTTTTTAAGATTTTACCCACTTATCTGACAGAGATCACAAGTAGGCAGAGAGGCAGACTTCCTGCTCAGCAGCTCCCTCCCAGGACCCAAGGACCACGACCCAAGCCGAAGGCAGAGGCTTCAACCCACTGAGCCACCCAGGCACCCCCTTAGTCTGGTTTCATAAGAAACCTAGCCTGCTTTTCTCCCACCACTTTCTGGGCTTTTCTGTAGCAGTGACTGACATTCCTGAGCTCTCATTGTGGACCAGACACTATTTTAAGCACTTGACATGTGTTATTAGTTAATTTGGTCTTCCTAATAATACCATGAGCCAAGTATTATGGTTCCCATTTTTCAGATGAGACCATGAGGCACAGAAAGGTTAAGTAAGTCACCCCAGGTCACACAGCTAGCGCAATTCTATCTTCCATACTGAATTACTTCAACTCCTCAAGGGGGGTCATGCTTTTTCATCCAGCTGAACACCTGTCTTCCTCATTCTTCCCTTCCCACCCTTCCCCTTATAGCTCTTCTTTTCGGTCCCAGCTTCGTTACCTCCTCCAAGAAGGTGTCCCTATATCCTTAGGAGAAATGTAGGTTCCTTTGAAATTTGTTCCCTCTGCCTGTGTTTCCTTCATCATAGAGCTATACATCCTTATCTCATTGAATTATAATCATCCTGATTACTTGTCCATCTCTTTACCTAGATTCTGAGTTCCTGGAAGATTTACGTCTGGCTTGTTCATTGCTCTCCCTACGGACAACACAGGGCTGGTATGAATGGGTGTTCAATAAACGTTTGTTAAGTGAATCAATGACCTGCCACTCTGATGTGTGCACACTGAGTCTGTGAGTGTGCAAAATAAGTGTGCATAGATCTCCTCTGAGGGCTCTGCCCGCCCCCCACCAGGTCCTAGACAGGAGGAAAAGCCCCTGACATCTCCTTAAGGTCAGATGCCTCCCAGAGATGTCTCTTGTGCCCAGTGTGGCCCCTACCCTTCCACCAGCTCCCCAGACTCCTCACCCTGATAGTGGATCCTGAAGCCACCGCCCCTTGGGACCCGTGGGCTCTGGAAGTGCAGGAGCAGCCGGTTGGTTGGACTCCGAAGCACCTGTCCTTCTCCCAGCATGGAGGAGTTAGCCAGGAGTCGGGGGGCCAAGCCTGGGGACCCCCCACCAGCCAGCACCAGGAGTTCCTCCTCCCGAGATAGGTTCAGCATCTGCACCTAAAGAAGGCCAGACCCAGACCGCCGCCCCCCCACCCCACAGGACAAGTCAGTCAAGGTGGGTGACCCCTAAGCCCCCCACCGTCTGCCTTCCTTTCTCCTGTGTGTGGCAGCCCAAATACCACCGTGACATTGGCCACATTATAGAACTCCAGGAGAGTCTCTGAGATCCTCAGAAAACAGGCCCACTGAGTCAGGGAAGTTTCCCAGGCCAAACCTGTGCACACACCTGGGCCCAGAGGAAAGGGCTTGGGGGCTTCAAAGTCCAGTTACCTGGATCTCAATGCCGTAGCCAGGGTAGACATGGATGCTGTAGGTGCAGTCCAAGAGCCCGGCGGTGCGGCTGGCGGCGCTGCCCAGGTCGGGAGACTCCACATGCCCTTCGCCCTCAGAGATGTTGTTATTACACAGAACTAAAGAGACAAAAGGGGCTGGAGCTGACTGATTCCCTGTGCTCTTGCCCTCCCAGCCAAGCAACTCTGGGGGCCTTTGCCTGTCTTGTCCCCTGCACCCCTCACCATCTTAATCGGTGGCTCCCTCTCCCACCCGTGCCCACAACTCCCTTCCCCAACTGTAGTAGAGATAAAACACACAGAACGGTGCTGGCCCACCGCAAGGGTAGACACACGCCCACCATAATAATAAATAATCAAATAATAATCAAAAAATGATTGGGCAGAGGCCCCTTTCTCATCTGTACCCAGACCCCTGCTTCCACACTTTTCCAGCAGCCTCTCCCCGGGCATCCCACCCTCCTCCCCTACATTCATGCTCCTGCACACTGTTCCCGCCCCCTTTCAGACGCCTCACCTGGGCTGGTCACCGTGGTGGTAACAGTGGTCGTGGTGATGATGGTGGTCGTGGTCTCCTCCTCTCCTACCTCAGGCCCGAGGGGCGGGCCTGGGGAGGCGGGTCCAGGAAGGGGCGGGGCCGTAGTTCCCGGGGGCGGGGTCAGCAGCTCTGGAGCGGTGGGGCCTGCCCCCCTTCCCCCTTTAGGGGTTACAGCGGTTGTCAGAGGCCCCGTCCCCGGCTCAGTGGCCCGTGGCAGGGAGGGTGCTGCAAGAGTCTGGCCGGCTGGAGGGGTGGCCAGTGTGGGGTCTGGATCAGATCCTGGGACAGTGCAAGGTAAGTCAGGGCGCAGAAAGAGCAAATTGGTGGGTCATGGGTGGGGAGCAGGGCTGAGGGAAACTGGGGGCTCCGCCCACTGAACCCAAAAGTTGCAAGCCCCCCACCTCTCCCTTCCACACCCGAACTCTACATGTCCTCCCAAGGCTTCCACAGCCCTACCTCCCCACCCCTCCCTCTCCACCTCTCCACCCAGGCCCTTCCACTGGGTCAGTCTCCTTGAGACTCTCCACACTTCCCGGTTCAGGTCTGGCTCCCTTTCCTGCGCACCCCTTCCTCCCTCCTCTTTCTCTCTTTTGCTCTGTCTGGAACTCTTCTTCTCTGTTTAGTATTCTTGTGGCTCTCTGATTTTATGATTCTAAATCTGCTACTCTCTGCATTTCTCTCTCTTTCTAGGTCTCTCTCCCCCGATTCCTCAGACTCTGGTTCTCTGAGTTTCCATCTGTCTTTCTCTCTGATGGTCTGTTTTTCTGTCTGGCTCTGGCTCTTGATCATTCAGTCTTAATTGCCCTGGTTCTCTCTCTATGCCGTTTTGACTCTCTCTAACCATATCTTGCTGAATATCACTGGCTTGGGTCCCCATCTTCTCGAGTTAATGTCCCTCCCTCTTTCTCTGTGTCACTTCTGCCACTCTGGGGCCTCACCCGGCAGGTAGCCCATCTCTGGACCCCTCCTCAGCAGGGCCCCATGGAGCAGCTCGGCCAAAACCTCAGAGGCTACTGTGGGGGCCTCACTTCCAGGCTCTGGTAGTGCCTCTTCTTCCTTCAGGGGCAGACCTAGGAGATGAAGTTGTGTGAGCCCTTCCACTGCCCCACACTCCTTCCTTCTCCAGAAAGATCTTTTCCAGAGCTCTTCCTCCCCTCTAGTCAGCTGGGCCTGCAGGAGCTCAGAGGGTCCCAGACTGGGCTGAAAGCCAAGAGTGGAGGAGGGGCTCCCAGCTGTCCCCGGCACCCCTACACCTTCCTCTCCACCCCACTCCCCTCCCACGCTGTGTGGGACTTCAGTGAGCATCTTGGCTCTTATGAACCCTGGACAGCGCCAGCTGAGTGGAGAGGGGCCCCAGTGCTACCTTCCTTTCCCCCTCGATGGTGATCTTCCCCCAGCCCTGGAGCTCTGCGGAGGGTCTGGCAGCACCTCCCAGCCCTTGCTTCCGCAATGCCCAGCTTTATCTCTGGGGTTCTATCTCTGCAGTGTGGTTCCCTCTCTCTCTCTTTCATTCTCTGCAGTCTCTGCCCGCTTCCCTGGAGTCTGGCGAGGGGTCAGAGTAGAGGACTGAATATCTGGGCTCTGAGCACTGCCTCTGTTCATCTGTCTTTGTCCATACGTCCAAGAACATTTGTGCGTGCAGTGCCTGGCGTCTCTCCCAGCACCTCCATCTCCCACCCAGGTACCCTGCATGCTTCTGCCGCCTCCGCAGACATCCCCCCAACTTCCCCAACCCTTCTTCCTGGATTTAACCCCTGAGATGCTGGTTAAAGCTCCCCTCATTCATTTCCCCACCTTCTCAGTATTGGGGGTTAGGGCTCCAGGTACAAGTCAGAATGCCCTGGCTTGCCCCTTCCCTGTCAGCTGTATCCCTCCTCCCCCAGAAGCTCAGAAAGCCAGGATGTTCAGAGAAAGGATGGTAGAGGACCCCAGGTGGGGACCATCCCAGGGCCTACCCCCACGCTCCCATGTCCTTACCCTGAATCCAGGGACAGCTCAGCAGAATTAGGAACAGCAGCTGGGGAGGCGGCGGGTGCTGGGCCCTGGGAGTCCCCATGGCGACTCACACACGATTTCTCTTCTCTGCGCCTCTCCTAAATAATCTAGCTGTCACCTTTCCTCCGTCTCCTTTTACCTTTCCCTTTCTTTTTTCTTTTTCTTTTTTTTTTTTTCCTGCTAGCAGTTAGCAAGGAAGACAATTTCTCTGTCCCTTGGGATGGAGGGGCAGAATTGGGCTGGGGGTCGCCTGGATCCCACCCCTCCTTGCCCAATCTCCTCTGTCCTCTGCTACCGGGTCTGTGGGAGAGGGGGCGCGGCTCCGGCTGCAGGGGGTGGGACCGAGAAGGCCGAAGGGGCTGGGTCGCCTGGGTTACCCTCTTGCCCGGGCGCGTGGGTCCATCGAGCTAGCTGGATCCCAGGCTGGGGGAGTAGGGAGAGGCAAGACAGCTTCTGGGGGTCTGGGGTGGGGTCGAGGATGGGGGGGTCCCTACTGTGCTCTAGCGGGGCTTGGTGGGGACGGGAGGGGGTTGCGGAACCTGGAGAGCCGAAGCTCGGGCACTGGAGCTGCGGGAGGGAGAAGCTGAGAAAGGTGTCGAGCCCACGTCAGATCCTGGGGACGGGCGAAGGGAGGGGCCTGGGATTTATTTGGGGGCGATGGGGGGGAGGCAGAAGGAGGAAGTGCAGATGGAGGAAGGAGGGACCACATGAGCCAGACCGTAATCCTCACTCCCGCGGCCCCTAGGGGAGGCAAAGGAAACTCTGGTCCTAGCTGTAATTACAGCCCCTTCCCCCAGCCTTTCCAGCACATCTGGAATCTGAATCTCCTCTTCCCAGGGTGCCGAGGGGCGGCACCGCTGGGTTCACGCTTGCTCAGCTCCCCAGTATGCCCCCTGCCCACATCCAGACACCTCCCCCCTCCCCACGGGACCTCCCTTTCCCTTTTACAGCTCCTATGAAATGGGTTTTCCCCTCCTCCAGGAGAATGGCAAATTTCCACGTTTATGAGAAGTCTAAGGGGCGACAGTCCAAGATCTGGGGAGGAGAGACCCCCTTCTCTTGCGTATATGACCCCGGCCAGCTGCCAGGCAGCTTCAACTTTGATGTTTGGTTTTTTTTTTTGTTTTTTTTTTTCCGTCCTGGCCTCCCTCAGAACGCCTCTGGGCGCCCTTTTCAGCACCACGAGCTGGCGGACAGCTCTTCCCGGCCCAGCCCGAGCGGGCCCGGCCCCCGACGCCGCGGGCGATTGGCTGAAGCCGTTCTCACTATCGATCAGGCTCCCGGGGGTGGGGGTGGGGGGCTCGCCTAGTGGAGGCGGAGGGGGGATGGGAGCCACAGTCTGACTGGTCAAGGGATCAGCAGACCTACGGACAGGCCGCAGTGTCCCTGTCCTCAGTCCACCAGCCCCGGCCCTGTCCGTCAGTCTATGCGCTCGCCCCGCCCCTTGTCTTGCCACGCCCCTCCTCCAGCCCCCGCCCCTTCTTTTCGCATTGCGGGGCGGCTGGAGGTTGGCACAGTGCCCCCTGCGCCCCACGTGGCGCCCCGTCGGGGCGGGGAGGGGAGGCGAATCCGGAGACCACCCCCCTCCTCCGGCTGAGATGCGACTGCCCCTGGGTGGGGGCGGGGGTAGCTAAGCTGAGATGACTGTGGGGAGGGGTGACGTCAGGGTGAGTGGGAGCCAAGGAAGGAACGAGTAGGAGAGAGGGAGGGAGGGGAAGAAGAGAGAGACAGAGAGAAAGAGAGAGAGAGGAGACCCGTGGGTCGGGTCGAGTGAGAAGCGAGGGCAGAAGGGGACGAGGGGTTGGAAGGAGAGAGAGAAGCTGCTGCGGAGGACAACTGGTTGCGGGCTCCCGGGGCTACGGGTCCAGGTGGGGGTAGGAACTGCTGTCCGGGGAAGCTAGAAGGGAGGGAGGGAGGGAGAGCTAAAAGAGGGGCGGGGAGGAGAGGGAGGCGAGAAGAAGGGACAGAGAGGGTGGAGAAAGGAGAGGCTGAGGGAGAGAAACTGCCGGAAGGAGAAAGGAGAGGGGGTGGGGGGAAAGGAAGAGGAGAGAGTTGAAGGAGAAAGAGGTAGAAGGGGAGAGAGACAGAAGGAAAGAAAAGAGAAAGGAGGGTTGGGAGGTACCTGAAGGAGGTGAGAAAGAGGGAGATACAAGGTGAAGAGAAAACCTCAGGAGAGAGAACCAAGGAGTGGGAAATGTGGAGGGGAAACAGCCCAGGGGGTAACCCGGGAGCAGCCACAGAGGGAACTGGAGGAGAACTGGGAGGACAGGGGAACTGGGGTCTGGAAGATGCCCCTGGCCTGCTGGCCAGGGCTTCCCTGCCCATCATGCCTGCGTGGCCATTGCCCTTGGCCTCCTCAGCACTCACCCTGCTCCTTGGAGCCCTGACTTCCCTTTTCCTCTGGTACTGTTACCGCCTGGGCTCCCAAGACATGCAGGCTCTGGGAGCTGGGAGTCGGGCTGCCAGTGTCAGCGGAGGGCCTAGGGGATGCTCTGAGGCCGGCAGGCTGAGCCCAGGGAGCTCTGGGGAGCCTGGAGAAGGGCCCAGGGCAGAAGGCCTAGTGTGCCGTCGCCTGCGGGCCTACGCCAGGCGCTACTCCTGGGCGGGCATGGGTAGGGTGAGGCGGGCAGCTCAAGGTGGCCCAGGCCCTGGGGGAGGGCCAGGGGTCCTGGGCATTCAGCGCCCAGGCCTGCTTTTTTTGCCAGACCTGCCCTCAGCCCCCTTCGTGCCCCGGGACGCCCAGCGGCATGACGTGGAGCTCCTGGAGAGCAGCTTCCCTGCCATTTTGCGGGACTTTGGGGCTGTGAGCTGGGACTTCTCAGGGACTACTCCTCTGCCTCGGGGCTGGTCCCCGCCCCTGGCCCCTGGGTGCTACCAGCTCCTGCTGTACCAAGCAGGCCGGTGCCAACCCAGCAACTGCCGCCGGTGCCCAGGGGCCTATCGCGCACTGCGGGGGCTGCGGACCTTTATGAGTGCCAACACCTTTGGCAACGCTGGCTTTTCTGTCCTCCTGCCTGGGGCGCGGCTTGAGGGTCGCTGTGGGCCCACCAACGCAAGGGTCAGATGCCATCTGGGTAAGTAGATGCTGCCTACAACCTCCTTGCCTCCTCGATTCCTCCTGCCCCCGGAGCTTTCTCCACTGTGTTTCCGATCACGCCTCCCTTCTCAGAAATCTTCCCTGACTCCCTGTTGCCCACAGCAGCATTTCCTAAGCCTCGATCACCTACCTTCCAACCATCTTCATAAGCTTTGCCGTGGGTATTTACCACCTGGACTCTTCTCTCTTGATACCGATTCCCCTGACATTTTGTTTCACTTATTTATTTAAAAGGAATCTTTACAGAGCAATGCTAATCAGTATTAGTTGCACTAAATAGAAAGTACTCCCCAAAACAAATTTAACCTTAAAAAAAAAAAAGCTTTACAAATTCTAGCTAAATAAATACTCCAGTCTGAGACCGAAGCCCACGCTTTCTTCCTTTAGAAAGGAGTGGAGTTAGTGGGCTGTTAAAGTCACGGTAGCACCAAACCAAGATTCCTTTCTTCATGTTTTAAAGACTGAGAGAAAGCGGAAAAGGAAACAATTTTGTTATTTAATGCAGGGTTATTTAAAACCTTGTGTTGCCTAAAACCATTTCCTATGCCACCAGTTGATGTGTCCCACACTGGCCTCAGGATCAAGTCCAGATTCTTTCTTCATTTCCCACCCATTCCCTTCCTCCTCTCCCCTCCCACCGTGTATCAGATCAGGAGAGCCTTCTGGCTGATCCTGGCAAGTGCCACTCATGGGATCCTCAGCCTAAAATGTCTTTCCGCTTTATCACCTATCACCTCCTGGTATACTCCTACTCAGCCTTCAGGACTCCCACTTTCAAGGTCCACACCTCCTCTGGGAGGTCCTCCTATTCCCCATCATTTGAGCTGGCTGCTGAGTTTTCTCGCAGCACTTTACTCTGTCGTGGTCCTTGGGCAAAAACGGATCCATCAGTTTTATACGAATGAGGGCGGAGCACACAGTAAGTAGGGTCTTGAGCTAAACTGGCAGAAGCCCAAGAAGAGATGCCCCTTCCTCCAGGAAGCCTTCCCTTTTCTCTGGAACAAGTAGATTGTGCTTTGCGCTGCCCTTCCCTTATCCCCGGCACTTCTTTCCTCTGGTACTATATTGTAATTACATAGGGACCCCTTCCAGAGGGCAAGGAGGGACACCACATGGGGTGTTTTAAGAGCTTCAAACTGCTTTTTGACTGAATGGGGTGGGCCCCTTTGTTGGAGGCAGGGGAATTGGATGCCTGGGTCTCTTCCCATAGGCCTGAAGATTCCTCCTGGCTGTGAGCTGGTGGTCGGGGGCGAGCCCCAGTGCTGGGCTGAGGGACACTGTCTACTGGTGGACGACTCCTTCCTGCACACAGTGGCTCATAATGGTAATGGGCTCCCGTTCTGCTAGGAGGAATGAGAGACTGAGTGGAGGGGGATAGGATAGAGGCTGCGGGATCAAGCCCAGCTGGCTCCCGGTCCCAGCACTACTGTTTCCCAGCTGTGTGACCTTGAACAAGTCATATAACTTCCCCCAACACCTGTGAAGTGTGGAAGCCACCTTCTTTATCAGGTGACTGCAGGGATTAAATGAGGTCTTGGAGGTGCACAGCAAAGTGGCCAACAAGACCCCAGACCTGGACCACCCGGGTCCCTGTCCTACCTCTGTCACTTACTGGCCGTGTGACCTTGGGCAAGTTATTTAACCTCTTTGTGCCCCAGTGACTTTGTATAAAATGGGAGTGATCATGGTACTGACCTGCAGTTTGTTTTGAGGACTAGGAGTTAACACATACAAGGGGTTAGGACAGAGCCTGGCACTTAATTACAGAGTGTTGGCTGTTATGAGTGGGTGGCGGGTGCTCTGGCAAATAAGTAGTTAATGTCAGTCCTTCTCTTGTCTCCATCCCCATATGCCTCAGGCTCCCCAGAAGATGGGCCTCGAGTGGTCTTCATCGTGGACCTCTGGCACCCCAACGTGGCCGGGGCCGAGCGCCAGGCCCTTGACTTTGTCTTCGCACCAGACCCTTGAAGGAAGGGGCTCCCTTCAGATACCCGGGCTGGAGAGGTGCTGTGCTTGCTCACGGATGGCTTTGAGTGGTAGCCAGGACCGCCTCTAGGCTGCGGGGGGGGGGGGGGGGAGCTGAGGGCGTGAACTGGCCAGCCTGCACTGAAATACAGATTTGATGGCCTCTCCTAGCTCTTGACTACCTTCTTCCAGCTACCCAGCCCAGTGAAAGGCTTGGGGCAGGGGCTCCTGTACTCTCCCATCTGGCTAGCCAAGTACCTGATCAACATAAGCCATCTCCTTGTCCCTCTCCCCCGGAGCCAGCACCAGTCCCTCAACTCAGTTTTATTCCAATAATTTAATAGAAAATTAAAATAAATAATATGAAATAGATTGAGAAGACGGCTGAGCTGGTGCAAGCCCAGGCCAGCCTAGTACAAAGTTAAAGGGGTGGGGGGACCGGTTGGGGAAGGAGGAGGGAGAGAGAAGCTACCCTGCACGATGGTGGGAAGGTGGCTCAGAACATGGTGGGTGTCAGTAAGGGCTGGCTGGACACTTTGGCGTGTACAGTGTGCTAAAAAAGAGAGAGAGACAGAGAAAGAGAAAAAGGGAATTCTAAATCATTCTAAACCAGCTGGTGAGGGAAAATAGCAGGACAAGGATGGGATAAGGGAACAAATGCAGGCCTTCTGAAAGGTTCTGACTGATGGAGGGTCTGGAATGTACCGTGCTGTGAGCCAGGAGGTGGGAATGAATGGAAAAGGGCCGCAGTGAACTGTACCATGCAACAGAGGGACAGAAGGAGGACCCACGACTTGGCCAGCAGAGCCGGGGCAAAGGCCTGGGAAGGGGAGGGAAAGAAAGAGGAACTGCACTCCAGTGGCAGGAGGAAAACAGAGAGCAAGGTCAAAGGTCAGTCCTTGAAGATAATCTGTTGGCCATGGGGACGCTCGTCGTGGGTGATGTGGCGCCGGACATGGATCCGGCGGACACGGTGCTCCCGGTTGTCCTCATCCTCCCCTCGGCCTGCCCCACCACCTCCAGCTGCACCCCCCGTGGCCTCCAGGAGGGCTGGGTCTGGGCCCCGGGGAGTCTCGTAGATCAGGATGTTCAAGGTTTCCTCAAAGATCCGGGCCTCCGGGAATTCCACCTGCAAAAGGCCAGCAATCCCCAGCTCCTACCCCTGGATGCAGTTACACAGGCGGTCCCCGGCCCCTGGGCGCACCCCCAGCCTCTGCAGTCCCAGGCTGTTTGGCCTGGACTCTCTATCCTCTTGGCAAATTCTTTACTCAGCAAAGTCATACTTGCCCTTCAAGGTCCAGCTCCGAAGTCAGGCAGAGCTACCTTCTTGTTTTCTCCCCTTTGCTGCCAAGTCTCTTGGTATGTTCTTGAATTTGACAAATATTTACTGAGTGACGGCCCTGTCCCAGGTGTCGTTCTAGGCACTGGGACTACAGCAGTGAACTAAACAGAAGTTCCTGTCTGCAGGAAGTTTACATTCTAAGGGGAGGACCCAGACATACGTGCTATCAAATATAAACCCTCAGATGGTGATAGATGTTGCAGGAAAAAATACAGCAAAAAGAGAGGGTGGGGAGGGTCATAGCCACACATGTTACAACTTTAGAGAGGGCGTTCAGAGAAGGCCTCGTTGAAAGGGTGACATTCAACCAACAGTCAGAGGAGTGGGGAAGGAGCCAGGTGGGTAAGGAGAGAAAGAGCCATCTGGGGAACAGGCAACAGCAAGGCTAAGAGCCTGGGGCAGGAGTGCACTTAGTCCAGTATTCGAAGATTGGCAGGAGGGAGGCAGAGCAGAGAGAGAATAGAAAGGGGTGAAGCGAGGAGGTGTTAGGGACAGAGTGGGTGTCATGTGGCCTGGAGGGATGAGCTAACACAGACAGAGTTACCAAGCTGCTTGCTCACTACTGGTTTATCTTCCTGCCTTCCCACTTACAGTGGAAACTTCTTGGAAGCTGGGTCATTCATTCATGCGTGCATTTGATAAATGCTTCCTCGCTTCCACTGTCTGGGGCTAGAGAGATAGGAAGAAAAGCTAGAGCCCTGCCCTCCAGGAGCTAACCCCGTGCTGCTGATGGGACACTCTCCTCCGGCCTGCTGCAGACAAAGAAGGAAGTATGACCAGCTTTGGGGCTGTGAGAGGTTGAAAGCTCATGAGCGAAGCTGTCCCAAACAAAGCTGTGCTTGGCTTGTGTCTTAAAGATTGAGCAGGAGTTCATTAGGCAGCCGGGGGTGAGGAAAAAGTCCCCGAGGAGGGACTAGTGTGTGCTGGGTGGGGAGGTACGAAGTAGCACTGGGTGCTCAGAGACCTGCGTATCTGAGGCACTTTCCTTGTATCAAGGTCAGAAGGGAGCAGGGGACACGACAGAGGGCTGCTACTTCCCTAGGCCTTTCATCCACCTGGATTCCAAGCCTGGTGCCGTGCTCAGTGCAGAGGACGTTCTCAGGAACTATGTGCTGATTGCCACATTCATGACTCAGGACTTACAAACTCAGTGTGTCCTAAGAGACCTGTGTTTTCTAAGGTCCTGAGGTTCTAAGAACCTATCGTGGGTCACGGACCCTTCTGAGAGTCTAACAGCTATGGTCCCTTCTAGATGGGAAAATGCATACACACTCCCAAACCTGCATACTGCTTCAAGATGGCCTTGAGACCCAAATGGGCTAGGTAAAGAATCCCACTCTAACCCAAAACCCTCGTTTCATGGCAGAGAGACAGACCCAAAGGAGGAAGGTGACTTGCCCCAGGTTAACAAGACCCCAGAACTTGGAACAGCAGCTCCTGACTCCCCGGACTTTTTCCACCACGTGGTTGGCCACGCTGCCCTCTGGCCAGGGTCCGGGTGCTGCCCACCACCACAGCCCTCCCCGACCAGGCCCTGAGCCCCTTCTGACCTTGGTCTGCTTCTTCTCTGTGGCATAGACAATGGAGGTGCAGCACACCTCGGCGATTTTGCGGCCCTGCCCATAGAAGGACCAGCAGCAGATCTCGTCCCCCAGGACATCCTTGAGGAAAAGCAGCCGCCCGTGGAAGCGCAGGGCCAGTTTGTCGAACAGCTCAATGTTCTTAAGGAGGTTGTCATCTGAAGTGCTAAAAACCAGGGGGCCAGGAGGCCTTATAGCACACTGGCCTCCTTCCCTCTGCTCCCGCAGCATGGGGGCACGCCTCACTGCACTCAGGTCTCCGTGCCCAGCGGGGCGCTTCCTCCGCCCGCCAGTGAGTTCAGGGGGCCTCTGAGGAGCAGCAGCACCCGGGAGGGGCTACCCATGCTGGCAGGTTCCGAGGCCCCCGCGGCTTCACCTGACGCCTTAGTGGCGCCACTCCTTGTAACCGAGTGACAGCAGGCAAGTTCCTTCACCTCTTGGCGCCCCAGATTCCCATCTGCTCCATGGAGATAGTATGCCCTCACACAGCTGCGAGGATTATGGGAGTTAACAAGTGGAAAGCACAGTCCGTTGTGGAAGAGCCCCCGGCAATGCTAGCCACTCTCGCAACCCTCGCCGGAACCCGGTTTGCGGGTCAGTGCACAGAGCCTCCAGGGTGATAATGACCTGCCCAAGTACCCAGAGCTGCAATCTGCATCCTGGCGAGCATTCTGCCCCTCTGTGGGGTCACAGCCCCTGCACCCCGGGGCGGCCCCCATCGGGGCGGAACCTGAGCCCAGCACCCCCCTACCCCCAGCCCAGGGCACCCCCCAGCCCCATGGCAGTCACCTGGTGTAGGAGTACTTGTTGTTACTGCGGTTGTGCAGGAGCTTCACCACGGGCTGTGGGGGGAGAGAGAAGGGTGGGGGTCAGGCTGCAGGGAGAGTCCCCCAGCCTCCACCCTACAGGGCTCAGGGGCCTCACCTTGGAGGTGCTGGCCAGGAGCTGCTGCTCCTCCCGGGGAGATGTCACCGTGGGGATGAGGCACAGCGGGGACAAGTTCTCCCTTTTTTGCTGGAGAAGAAGCGGAAGGTGGTTAACAGCACAACAAAAGGTCACTCGCTCCCCCACTTAAAAAGCCGTCCAAAGCGGCTTGTTGCCTTCTGGGAAAAATCCAGACTCAGTGTTCCACAGAGCTCTGCAGGATCCAACCTCTCTGCCCTCGCATCTACCACTCTTCCTTGCTTGCTGGGCTTCAGCCCCACCCACCGCCTGTTCCTTGGGCCCACCCAGCCCTTCCCAGTTCCCACTGCCCGGAATGGTCTACACTGCTGTGTGCTTTGCTGGCCCCTTCATGCCATTCAGATAACTCAGAACAGTACCCCTCAGAGGGTGCTGGCCCGTCACCTAAAGCTCTCTGACTCAAACAGCCTCCTCTACCTCCTTTACACGTTAGCAGCTCATTCTTCACGGCACTGAGTTCCTCACATTTTCTCATTTTGTTGTATGTTTGCTTATGATCCGTTCTCACCGAGGGCATGCCTAGTATACAGTGGGTGCTCAATCTCTGTTCGATAAATGAACCTGGTTGGGTGGGATGAGGTCTGAGGCAGAACCAGATACATTGGCTTCTTTCCTCTTTTCTTTCCTTTTTTTTTTTTTTTTTTAAAGATTTTGTTTATTTGATAGATAGAGATCACAAGTAGGAAGAGGCAGGCAGAAAGAGAGAGAGGAGGAAGCAGGCTCCCTGCTAAGCAGAGAGCCTGATGCGGGGCTCAATCCCAGGACCCTGGGATCATGACCCGAGCCGAAGGCAGAGGCTTTAACCCACTGAGCCACCCAGGCGCCCCTTCTTTCCTCTTTTCTGTCTTTCAGAATCTTTATGCCAAAACCCCTTTCACCTCTCTCAACCAGATCTTTTTCTCAACAGAAATTCCAGATTTTTTTTTTTTTTAAGAACCTTATGAGACCTTTTCTAACATTGGGGACACCTGGGTGGCTCAGTTGGTTAAGCTTCTGCCTTTGGTTCAGGTCATGATCCTGGGTCCTGGGATTGAGTCCCGCACGGGGCTCCCTGCTCAGCGGGGAGTCTGCTTCTCCCTCTGCCTGCTACTCCCCCTGCTTGTGTGTGTCTCTCTCTCTCTGACAAATAAATAAATAAAATCTTTAAAAAAAAGACCTTTCTAACATTAATATGGAAGAATAAAAGCCTATTATTACTTAAGTCGATTTTTAAAAAAAGAGCCAAGAGGAAGGACTGATATTAAGATATCCTATAAAGCCATACTAATGAAAACTGTGGTTTTGGTTTGCAGGAACAAACACAAAACCAATGGAACACAAGACAGTTTGGAAATGGGATGACGTATATATATGAGAACTGGTATTTATAAAGGGGACACCACATATCTGTGGGGCAAGTACAGAGTACGTATTCGTTATTGCTGTGTAATAAGCCATCCCCAAGCTTAGCAGCTTAAAGCAACAATAAATATTTATTATCTTGGTTTCTGTGGGTTAGGAATTCAGGAATGGTTTAGCTGGGTCGTTCTGGCATAGGGGTCTGTCTTGAGGTTGTAGCCAAGTCAGCCAGTGCTGCAGGAATCTGAAGGCATGCCTGGGTCCAGAGGATGTGTGTCTGAGAAAGCTTATTCACATGGCTGGCAAGTTCATGCCAGTTATCTGCAGAAAACATCGGATCCCTGTCATCTGGACCTCTCCACAGGGTCACCTGAGTGTCCTTCCAACGTGGCAGCTGGCTGCTCTGGAGCAAATAATCCAGGAGAGTAAGGTCGAGGCTTCAGTGTCTTTTAGGACCTGGTTTGTCAGCCCTGCTCGTGTGAAAGGGAAGTATACACGAAAGAATGGGTACTAGGGAGTGAGAATCATTGGGATTGCCTCTGGAGGCTGGCTCCACAGGCTACCTTCTGGCCCCTTTGATTCAAATCCTTCCCATTGAAAAGCATGCTCACCCCCTCCCCAAAACCCCAAAGTCTCATCCCTTTAGAGCATCAGCTTGAAGTACAGAATCCTGTCACCTAAGTCAGTCCAGGGGGCAGGGATGAGGCTCCTTGGGTGTAGTTCCTTAGTTACAAGTCCTTAAGTACATTTCTTCTTGCTCTGATGACCTGTGAACTAAAGAGACATATCTCTCCCGTATACCTAATGTGCAGTGGTGGAACAGGCATGAGGATAACCAGTAGGGGACTCTCAGGTAGGTAGGATACAAAAGTCTCTGCTTCAAAGAAATTCTGCAATCCAGCCGGACAAATATTGGGAGCCCTCTAACGCCTAATCTTGCCAGAAATGATTCTTTACGGCTCTTGGCTCTGCCCTGAGTCAGCCTTCATTTTCCGTGAAAGACAGTTCATGCTTGCAGCTACATGGTTTCCTGCCTGTAGAGCTTCCGGGGCCCAAAGGCCTCTTGTCTTGCACTGTCTCTGTCACTTTTGGTCCAAGCTGGCAGGGTCTCCACCCATGTAATTCTTGTAAAAACTTAATGGATAGATATTCATGAAGCGAGTCTTGGGGTTCAGTTCATTGGAAAGATGTCACACCCACAAATCTCTATGAGATATGCTCCCCTCTACTTTGGGCATGTGCTGAGACGACTGAGGGGTACCACTGTTGTCTGATTAACGGGGCTCCGAGGCATCTTCTGGGTATTTCTGAAGTCTTTACAAAGGCTTTTATAATTACATCCTCGACTTCATCTTCAGACCAAGTTTTATTGAGAATGCCCTGTGTTTGATCTTTGCTAGGAAGCCATTTGGGAATTGTAACATCGTGTGTTATCTGGAAAGGTTGGGACTTTTCAAACCCAGTAATTCCGGCCTCCTTGTTCAATTGTTTTCCCTCCTTCTTATCCTCTCCTTTTCTGTTTTACTCTCAGCAACAAGAAATCCAGTGGCCCCTTCAACATTCTTTCTGGAAACTTCTTTAGCAACATTACCCAGCTCATTAGGTACATTTTCTACTTTCTAGATTACTGTGGGAGACAGTGTTACCAAAATCCTGCCTCTACATGACAAGGGTTCCCTTTGCACCAGTTTCTAGTAACATTTTCCCTGCTGCAGCCTCCTCTGAGGTCATCGGGCTTCCATGAACAGACCCTCTAAAACTCTTCAGGCTTTCATTAACATTCTCCTTGAAGTCCTGCCAACGGGTGCCCACTTCCCAGTTCTACAGCCACTCCTACGTTTTAGGTTTTTGTTAACACAGAACCCCACCCAGATACCAAATCTGTTATCCATTGCTGGGTAACTTATTACTACAAATTTAGCAGCTTAAAACAATAAACATTTATTATCACACACAGTTTCTGTTAGCTGGGAACTTGAGATTGGTTAGTTGGGTGGTCTGGACCAGGTTGGGAGTCCAGATGTTGGCCTGGGCTGTAGTTATATGCAGACTTGACTGGGTCTAGAGAATCCGCTTGAGATAGATCACCCATATGGCTGGGGGTCTGCTGGCTATGGACAGAGACCTTCCGTTCCTCAACAAGTAAACTCTCCCCTGTGCTGACCAGGTGTCTATATGTGGCAGCTGGTTTCCCCCAGAATGAGTGATCTGAGACAGAGGCAAAAATTGCAATGGCTTTTATGACCTAGCTTTAGAAGTCACACACTATCACTTATTCAATATCCTACTAGTTACATAGGTCAGCTCTATTCAGTGTAGGAGGTGACCACACAAGAGCCCGAATGAGGAGGAAGCGAGAATTGCTGGTGGCTATCTTGGACACTGGCTACCACAGAAAGTTTAGTAGATGGCACTGGAAAAACTAGCTCACTCTCTGGAGGACGAAAAATTGTTAAATCCCTTCATAATTCACATTTATAACAGTGAATTCCATTTAGATTAAAAGACCCATATATGAAAGATAATAAAGCTAATAAAAGATGTAAACAGAATGGAAAAAAACCTTCAATAAGACCCTTCAAGGATATACCATTAAGCAAAAAAAAAAAAAAAAAAAAAAAGGAACTTGACATTAAATCAAGATTTTCTCCAGTTGACAATGGAAACTGTAACTTTACAAATAATCCCAGGTAGGGCGCCTGGGGGGCTCAGCTGTTAAGTGTCTGCCTTCAGCTCAGGTCATGATCCCAGGGTCCTGGGATTGAGCCCCACACTGGGCTCCCTGCTTGGCAGGAGGACTGCTTTCCCTCTCCCACTCCCCCTGCTTATGTTCCTGCTCTCGTGCATGCTCTCTGTCAAATAAATAAATAAAATCTTTGAAAAAACAAATATGGGCGCCTGGGTGGCTCAGTGGGTTAAGCTGCTGCCTTCAGCTCAGGTCACGATCTCAGGTCCCTGGGATCGAGTCCTGCATTGGGCTCTCTGCTTGGCAGGGAGCCTGCTTCCC